GGACACAATCAACAGCAGCAGGCATGGGAGTTTCCCCCTCACACCACAGAGGCCACGTGCAACCTCTGGTCTGTCTATGTTCACGAGGAAGTGCTGGGCATTCCCAGGCATCAGGCCCATCAGGCACTCGGGCCACAGTGCCGGGAGGAAAGGATAAAAGCCTATCTGAAGAAAGGTGCTCAGCTAAAGGACTGGAACATGTGGACTGCTCTGGAGACATACCTGCAGGTAACAGGGAAAATGGGTGTGTGTTTTAGTGCAGTCAATGAAGCCTGTGTCAGAGGGATGTCTGCAGCCTGGTGACTGTAGCCGTGAAGCCTTGTAAGTGTTTGATTACTGTCAGGGTTTTTCTTGGGTCCAGATAGCACCTGAGAGGTAAACAGGCAGAGTACCTAAAGTTGGTATCTCCTGAAAACCTTCCTTTCCCAGACTTGGGCTTAGCCACTCAGGGAGATAGCTCAGTGCAATGTGCTAATTTTTCTCTCTGGAAGAGAAACAGGAACTGCTGCTTGTTATACAACATGGGAAAAGGAGGATCAAACTTGGGCACAGCTCTTTAATCCACAGCAGATTTCCTGTGGGACGGTGGGCTAGCTGTCAAAAAACCTTGGCACTGTAAAGTGTCTAGAAGAGCCAGGATTTGAAGAGTCTCCCAGTGAGTTACATGGCCTTTAAAAAAACTTACATAGAGGAGGATGTTCATACCATCCAGTGCACTAAGTGGAGCCAGTGTAGTCCATCAAGTGGCAAGAGAATGGGCTCGGCCTATGCTCCTGCACACAGAACTGTGGTCGAGACTCTAAAACATGAACCCTATCCTAGATGGATTAAAGTACATTCTCTCAGGAAGCATGCAGGAGAGATTTCCCCCTTTCCATTAATCCTCCTAGAAACTATTAGCCTAATGGAGAGAGCACTCAGCCTGATTTTAACTGGGATCTGCAAAGCAGATGTCCATTATGATGGCTTAAACTACTGACTGTTGTGAGATGAGTGTTCCTCAGCTCCCTTGTCTGAGAGCTCTCACAATTCATATGAGGAAAAGAATATTTACTGGAGGAGTATTGCTCCTGCCTTCTCCACATCCCAGAGAAACATCTGCATTGTCAAGCTGAAAAGTCATCCTCTGGGGATTTTTGGTGCAACAAATAACAAAATATATATACAGAGGGAACAGTTTTGAGGGGAGAAATTTTCCCAAAATACCTTACCAGTTTGGCCACTGCCTCACTGCCTCACTGATGCCTGTAGGCTGCGATGTCTCATCTCCTGCCTGATTACTAACAGGACTGTTGGAATAAATGTGGCATGGAAGAACAGTTCTAATTCTGCAGCAGCAATGTTTCTGTATGAACTCCTTTTGTTCTTATTCTTAGGCAAAGCATGCCCTGTTCATAATCTCCTGTGCCCCTTCTTTCCAGCTATTCTGTCAGTGTCCCCTCTGATACTGTTTTCACTGTCTCCAAAGCAGCAGCTTATATAATAGGTTGCTGAGACTTCTGGCTACTCCCAATGTATCTTTGATCTCTGTCGTGGGAGATCAGTGTAATGGGGAGATATTTTTCTGTACTTTAGTGCTGTTAGTTATGCTCTGAAGCCTGAAAAGCTTAGAAGCTTTCATCTAAATTTACATTCATTCTAAAAGACACTGCAGACACTCATGGAATTTTCTGCCGTTTGTAACACAGGAATAATGCCAGTGAAATCATAACATAACTGTTTGTACACTGTATTCTTTTTCATCAGTTGCAGGAAGGGTTTGGTTGGGACCCCTTCATCCACATCTTCTCTGACTACCAGAAAATGTCCACGATCCCAAAAGACAACACTTCTAAGATGAACTTGTGGGCACAGAAGTTTTCTCAGCAGGTGAATAAGAATTTGGCTCCATTCTTTACAGCCTGGGGATGGCCTATCAAGAAAGAGCTGTGTGTGGAACTGTCCTCTCTACCCAGCTGGGAACAGGATCCAATGAGATCCTATAGAGCATAAAGGAAAACTACCTAAATCTTGGTTTTTATACTAGCTATGGCCTATCTTTTTCTCCTTGTGTGCTACATGATAGATCACTATGTGCTTGGATTTATTCTGCATTCTTCAGCTTCTTGCTGCCAGTGGAGGCCAACCCCAACAGAAATTCAACAGGGATTAGCAGATCAGCAACCACCTAAGCCATCTTCTGAAGGGTAAAATAATCAGTGAACTTTGTTCCAGGTGTTTCACCTCAGGATGAATGTAATTGTCAGCTGATTTAGTTCCTACAGAATCTTTCTCTGATGAAATGGAAGTTTTCTGAGTGGAGCAATACCTGGACCAGTTTCAAGGATTTTACCATGGGAATAAAGATCTTCAAAACAAATAGTAGCCCCCACAACACAGTTGTATTCTTATGTTATAATCTCAGTAACATGAGATTTTCACAGTTTTTCACAATTATTTCACTAAAATCCCTAATTTTAAATTCATCTTATTATGCAGAATCTCGCAGCACCTGCTGTGAAAGTGGCCTTATAATGCATATATACAGGCTATATAATGCATAGTTGATACTGAAATGCTGTAGATTTCTTCCTACATTCTATGACTGTGTGACCCAGCATCCATCTTTAGGTGAACAAGTCAGTTGTAAGTTTTAGCTGTCCTTCAACCATAGCCTAACAGCAAGATACATGCCAAAGAAGATGAGAGAGTGGAAAGAGGGAGGTGCCTTGATTGTAGTCAGTAATGGTTTGACTTGTGAACTCATCAAAGGTTAAAATGCAGGCACTGACCTGAGAGCCTGAGGGAGCAGAGAGAAGGAAGACAACAGTTCATCAACACAGAGGACCAGCCTTTTCAAGGTGCAACAAAAGTTCAAGTTTCTCCCAGCTCTTTCATAATTGCTCAGCTATTACGGCTTTTGGCAAACATGTTAATGCTTAGCCTAAGAGCTCACTAGTCCTAGCCTATTCCTTATGTATCAGTAATAAATAAAAAGAAAATCACTGTAGACTTGCAGCTTTTGTATGTGATCCTATTTCGTGTCGCCATGCCCAGTAAAAAAAGGCCTAAATAGAAATGACCTAGATAGAAGTGGCCTTGGTGATTAAGTTGTTCAAAGTTGAAAAAAAAACCACTATGGAAGTCTCTAGTCTGTGGTGTGGCCTCATATCTATCATAGTGCCAAAGGAGAGCTCATTAGGCCAAATATCAGTCACAATTAAAGAGGCTGTGCAGCCTCCATTCTTCAGCCTTGGTAAGTGGTCCCAAAACCTAATTGTAGTAAAGAGGCCTTTCTGCATTTATGGCTTACCCATATTTTCCTGATTTTCTGGAGGTTTTCTTTTTGTGGTCGTGTGTAGAAAATGTCAAAATACATAATGTCCCAGGAAAGTCTTTGCATTAAGCTTCACATTTCTTAGCCCAGAAAGTATATTGATAAGACCTTCAATCAGGAATTAATCTCTTTCCATGGTCCCAGTATAAGCATATCTGAGACACCTTTAAAGTGGCTTGATATTAAAAACTGAATATCATCAACTTTCAGCAGCAGCAGATGTGGGGTCACCAAAGGCAACTGGAGCCCTTGCCAGCATCCCAGGATCTCCCTGTGATTCAGTAAAACACAGTTACAGCCAAATTAATTTATTGTTTCTGAGGCCATCCAAAGGGGTTTACCTGTGGCAATTGTCCTCTTTCTTCACATTTAAAAGTTCTTATTAAATCAGCTGCCTTTTTACACCTGAATGTTGGATTAGGGGGAACTGACATCTCTGCCTGGTTCTGAACCATCTGTCAGTAGTGGCCCCCTGTGCTGAGCTGGCCACGAGAACGTCACACTGACAGTACCAGCTGCTGGTGTACACCTCATGGGCAGCCCAGAGAGTCAGTCTGCTTCCCATCCGCATCAAGGAGATGGATGCAACTGCCAGGCCAGCAGCCATCCCAGCAACATTTTCCAAGGCCAGAAAGGATGGTGGCAGATGTCCAGATATCTCATGGCAAGTATAATAACCAGACATTTTGTCTATATCTGTAATGGATATGTATAAGGGAAATACGCAAGGCAGTAATGCTATCACGAGGCCACGCGGATTCTCGAATCAGCAGATCAATTCCACCATATCCAAGAAGACTGCTGGAGAGAGTAAGAATCTTCTGTGAATGTCAAGAGCTTGTATGCAAAAGCAGCATATTCTGCTGCTGAATTTGACACTGTAAAACCCAGTGAAGGGAGGCTGGCCACCAAATGACGTGTACCGTGTTATGTTGATCTTGTTGCTGTGGGACTGAATTTGTGCTAATTGCAGCAGAGAGAAGAGAAACACAAGTAGCTGGTTTAGGCAGGACAAAGGAGATTTTGAAACTTGAATTAAGGCATGCAACAGACGCATAGGCAGCCTACTGTGTTATGCCTGTTAGCAGGCATAGGATTGCTTCCATTAGCGGGAAAGTGAGGGCAATGGTAGGGGGAAGAGTTGGTTGTAAGCAGCATTTTGCTGTCTGTTATTTAAGAAATCTGCCGTTTAAAGACAATTCACTAGGCCAGTGGAACTGAAGTTTGTTATGGGCGATGAGAGAGGCCCCTAAAGGCCAAGTCTCAGCATTATTTGCAATTAATCTTTGTTCAGGTATTGCACCTTTCTCAGTAGGATTGGCAGGTTCTTTCAGCTCTACTTGACTGCAGCACTAGAGGTGTTTTCTACCACTTGAATTGATAAATTCATCAGCTGCCCAGGCCACCACTCAGTAATTAACAGCATCTTGACTCACGTGGTATATCTGCTGTCAAGCAGAATTGATTCAAGAGAGGCTGGCCCAAGTGTAAACACTGGCACACCAGCCAGAGCTGGTTGATGCTCCATCCCTGGTAACGTTCAGTGGGACTCTGAGCAACCTGATCTGATGAAGATGTTCCTGCTCAATGCAGGGGAGTTGGACTAGATGACACTAAAGGTCCTATCAGAAAAATCAGGCAACCCTGGATGCGGGAAGAAATGATGATGTCTGGCTCCAGATCAGAAGGTTGAAGGATAGCTTTATTGAAACTATACTATAATACATTAATATACTATTTAAAAAGATACTATACTATTCTACATACTTTCTTCTTGCTTACCTAACAACTAACAAACTCGCGACTCTCTGCTGAGAGTCTGAGACACAGCTGGATCCAATTGGTCATTGAACCCAAACAACCCTCACCAGAACCCAATCCAGCAATCACTTCAGCAATCCAGCAATCACTTCAGGTAAACAATCTCCATACCACATTCCATATGGAGAAAACCAAGCAGAGATAAAGATTGTTTTCTTTTCTTCTCTCTGTGTTTCTCCTGAGAGACAGAATTATGTCTCTCTGTCCAGAGAATGTGAATGCCACAAGGTCTCTTTCAACCCAAATCATTCCATGATTCCATGAAAAGTGAGTGTCGTGTTTCCATACTGCATTTGCTTCTCCAAGCATGTCTTTATGTCAGAAGGATTTTATTAATCATTCATTACATCTGGCCTTGTATAGCGCCGAATCCAACACTAAAGTTGTAATCTGTCAGTGGCTGTGCAGCAATTGTGTTGAGATTACATAGCAGTTGCTTCTGGATTGATTTACATGGCTCCTTCTCATAAGATAACCAGCCCTTTGCACAGACACTGCAAATCCTGTGCACAGATCCGGGCAGCACTGCGTGGCCTCTGGTGGAACCCAACATATAAAACTCTTCCTGCTTCCCTCAGACCTGCTAAAACACGGGGAGTATAGCACCACTTCAAAGATGTGAATGGCTCTATATCCCTTCTGCACTACTTTGGAGCTATAAGGAAGCAGTTCAGCCTGTTGAATTGTCCCTGAAGGAAAAAGAACCAAAGATACTGAAATCCTATTAAAAGCTACTGGAACATGACTTTTAAAGTTGGTTATGGTTGTCAGGAATACGGAGGAGCTCATGGAGGATGTTAAGGAGTACAGTAAGTTTGTCTTTCCTGAAAAAAAGAGGCTTTTTTACAAACAGCATGAAAAACAGCAAAATTGAAACCAAAGAGATGACAAACATAGTGAAGAAGTAATGGTGGCCATCAGCAGCAAATTCTACCCAATATTCAATAGTAAAGAGCTACTTCAGTAAAACAAACTGACAAGAATCTGCCTTCCTCCCCAAAAAACAACAAAATAAAATGGATCCCAGTTCACTATTTGCTCTGTGGTACAACAAACACTAAGGGAACAGTGGAGGTGGCTACTCCCCGAGGGTCGGTGGCCAGGAGCTAGCTGCAGTAACACAGCCAGCAGGACAGCTGGGGACCAGCCACAACACCTGAGTGGAGCAAGCAGGACACACCTGGCACAGGATCCAGGATCTAGATTGCTAGACAAGTCTTCAGGGATGAGGAAGATCCGAGGTCCGGCACGGAAATCAGTCCTCAGGTCAGTGTTGGGTCCAGTGGGGGTGACCAAGGTCAGACATATTCCACTGGTTGCCTGGCAGGCCCATTGTGATGAGGCACATCTGAAATCAAGTGAGGAAGACCATGGATCTGCAGGTAAATTAAGTTTGCAACACATTTATAAATTTATTATTTTAATCCAGGGAAGCTTCTTTCCACACTTGCTGCAACCATTTGATCCCTACCCCAAATCATCTTGTCTGTTGACTCTTAGTCTCCAGCATTGTGTATGTGTGCCAGCTCCCAGGACTCCACAAATCCAAATCAGTCAGTCCTGATCTGTCTCTGAGTGACACACTTCAGCAGGAGAACCAGGGCTTCAGGGAAAAGGTTTTGAAGCAGTCCTCAAAAAATGTGCTTGTTTTGAGTCATTTGTGATCGCATCACAGTGCAAGGCTCACTGGTCTGTGGAATGCATTGGTTTGAGATATAATAGTGAACCACATCCTTTGGGAAGTACCAAAGATGACTTCTGATCACTGAAAATTGTTATGTTCCTTTTTCTTTTTTCCCTAGTACTACATTTGAGCCAGTCTTTCAGAGTTGCAGTGTAATATTCCACTCAGTAGCAACCAGGATTTGTACTGGACAGTACAAATATCAACTGTGCAGAGTCTCTAGGCAGGGAGCCTGCATTTCCTGCTGTGAGAAGAGTCTTATATATTGTAAGTATGAAGAGATATTTTAAATATACATGGAGAGGTGGGTTGATATTTTTTATCAGTCTTGTTTTGAACACTTGTAACAGTTGGAAAAAAAAAAAAGTAGAGATCAAGCCTGTGAGCACAGTCCTGCCCTTCAGGATGAAGAGCACTTATATAAGTACTTGATTTTTGGTTTTGTGTGAATAGTGGACAGATGAGTTTGTTGAATAATCTGATGTTGTTAAAGGGCTGCTTTGGTTCTTCAGTAGGCATTTAAAATTTTGAGGGCAGCTACACTTTTTAAAAAAAAAAAGCCCTGTGAAAAGATCAGTAACTGAATTTAATATACAATTTTGTTAATAATGCAGGTAGAATAATTCTAAACTTCCATGCATGTATTTTGTACTGTATCACTTATGATTCATAGAGGCCTTTGGATAGGAAGCCTTCACCAAGATACTTTCTGAACCCCAAAATATGACTGAGCTCCCAGATGATGATGACTCAAAAATGAATCTGCAGGCAGAAACCTTTTCATATCTGGTCAGGAGGAATTTGACTAGTTTCTTTAAGGCCTGGGGATATCCAGTCTTGTCAAACCCTTCCCAGCAGCTGGCTGTTTCTTTCCCCATCTGGTCAGATGATCCCATGAAGCAATATATCTCCTAAGCAGGTTTTGACTCATGAAAATGTGTGATTGTCTGACCTAAAGCCAGTGCTCTGCAGTAGTTTTAAATGTTTTCTGAATAGTGTGGTGTTCCAACGAATCTGAGAAGCAGCTCTGCATTGTACATGTAATAGAAGAGTTTGTTCTTGGCTTCCTCCCAAATCTGCCCTGTGTGGGTCCCACTACTTCCTTTCCTAACAGGAGTAATTTTAACCACAGAAGGGGAAACATTGGCTCTTTTATTACCAATGAAACCAATCAACCCCTTCCCATTTTTTATTTTCTCTGTTTATTTATCTCCAAAATGTTCTCTGTTCCAGACTTACTCTGATTTCAGGTATGCAAAGTTTATTGATATTTAGGAGAAGAGTTGGAATGGGGGGATGGGGGGGGAGTGGGGGGAAATGTCACTTTAAAAGCAGAGACATGTTAGGAGATAATAAAGCTGGAAATAAATGGAAGAATTCAGGTGAAATTATGGCTATAGCCATGAGAAGTGAGGATGATCATTTAAAGGAAAACCTTGATGCACTGCACAGGAGAGGCCTTGATGAGTGTTTAATTGTTCTGAAAGAGGTTGCCTTCATGCTCTGCCTTCAGAGTTGGCAACTGTGCAGTGAGAAACAGCTGCTTTAGCTCGTGTCAGAAGCAAAAGAGTGCTCAGGCAGTGAACTTACCTCCTTGATCCTTAGCTAGAGTAAATTTGCAGACATCTAATGCATGTAAAATTGTGGCAACTCAGTCTGCATGAGGATCTAAGACAGCAGGTGCCTCACCTAGCAGGATTGAATGTCATGGGAGGAACACAGCACTGGGGTGTATTTACAGTGGTCTGTTTTGATCTCAAATCTAAACAACCAGATCCATGTCCAGTTCTTAAATGCTACAGTGAATTTCTCCTATGTTAAAATATGGACTATAGCACAAGCCAATTTTTATGGTGCATTTTGAGATCCTGAGTGAGGCAATTTCTTGTCTTTTGGCTATGTTTTCTTTTTCTAGTGAATGTTACAGAATTCTTACCTTGCTGTAGAGCCATCGATGCACCACAAGGGACTGCAGTGACAGAGTCAGAGGCATTCTGCATCTCTTCCTGATCTCATGCATGTAGATCACAGTGACACCGAGAGAGTGCAAGTGACTTGCTGTGAGCAGGAGATGGTGCTGAAGTGCTGGACCTCATGATCAGCTGAGGCATTTCCAGGAGACCAGCAGATTTTCCAAAAGCTTGTCAAGATAAATGATTTATAATTAAGCAGTGGGATGTGAGAAAGCTTGCTCAGGTATGTAAACTGATTCCATATAAAATAAAAAAGTGGTTTTATTCCCTTGTAACCAGGTAGAGACATAAAGGCTAAAAGCATAGGATTTGTCTTAGACAACTTGAGATAAACAAAGGATAACCAGCATGAACTGGACAAGTGAACAACTGGGGGTTGTGGATCTCTTGGATAACAAGAACCTTGCAAGGCAAACAGTACCTGGGTTAGTACTAATACCTTACACAAGACTGCTTAGGAAGTCATTTCAGAAACACTAAATTTTAGAAGACAGAACAGACATGTGTCCAGTGCCAGAACTTCTTAAGATGCCATTTCTCTCTTTTATTTCTTCCAAACAACAATGTATGCTCTTCATCTGTGGTCTAGCAAGAAAAGGTAAAAGGAAATGAAATTTTAAAGGAAAAAAAAAAAAAAGGAATAAAGGGGGAAGCAGTATGAGAGACAGAAGGAGTGCAAAGAAAATAAAGACACGGAGAAATAAATGTTGTAAGGGAACATGAAATAATCTGAGGTGGGATAAAACAGAAAAAGAAAAGGAGTAGAGGTGTAATTCTCTGATTTGTCTAAAAAAAAAGAACAGACACCCTTGGAGGAAAATTTAAATCATTATAATAAATAGTGTCTGCCAAGAAAAACTTACTTTTCACTTTATTTCATCACTTAGCTTGGCAAAGATCATAATTTATTAGAGAAAGTCAGGCATATCCTATAAAGGAATACTCAGCTGTTAGAGTTAAACATAAAGAGAGCAGCATGCTCAGTGTACAGATGTAATTAATAAGTCTGACCATAAGAATCAATGCTGGATGCCCTTCCAAATGGCTCTAATTATGTTTTTCCAGCTGAGGACAACATCTCAAAGACTGGGCAGCATGAGCTTTCTGGAGGAAAACCAGCAGCTAGCTCAGGTTTGAACCATGAGAGAATTTTACTGCAGCAGTCAGAGTACCTGCACTCAATGTTGTGTGTGTTCTCAGAAGTGAATGTCACTGTTGCTCCTTTCCTCAGACCCAAGTTCCATTCCAAAGTGAAAGTTAGTGTGCCAAGGAGCGGTAAGCATCCAGGTCTTGTTCTGAGAGGCAGCTGGGATGTGGCCAAGATGTCCACCTGAAAGCAAGGACTGCAAGTGTCATCATGAAGAATGCTATTCTGATAAACTTTTTGTCCTCCCCACCCAAGCCTTGGGTTCAGTATGCAGGAATGTCATTCTGAAGCTTTCTGAAAATCCTGTACCTAACTGTCTGTCATCAACTCTGCCTCTTGCCGTGGCATCTGCTGCCTCCTGAATCAAGCCAGACTTGAGGGGTAAAGACTGATTCTTATCTGTTGGAGATAGGGACCTCCATCAGCCAAATCCATATTGAGGAGGGGATCAGGAATCTCCCTTCAGCAATTCTGTAGGCAAACCCAGCATCATCTCCCAAGATCCCTCTTTTGTCATGACTCTCAAGAAAAACTTTGTTGTCCAAATTTGGGGCACGGAGACTGTTTCTAGCAAGTTACGTGCATTTTCTTGCAAACCAATCTCCTGGTGTGGGTTTTGCTCTGCCTCATCAACTTTCCAGGAACCAGAACTGCAGGACCCCTAAAACCACTTGTAAAACATTGGTCACTCTCTGCATGTCTTATCTGCCTCTTTTTCTTCCTCAAAACCTTGTTGCTGTAAGTTCCAGAACTGAGCTGGGGGAAATCAAGAAGTCCATTGCAATGTTTGGGTTTGTGGTCATGTTGCACAGAAAATAGTTTTCTTCATTGTGAAAGAAACTAGGAAGCAAACACTTTGCAACAGCCAACCTTTTGGTCCATTTGCTAAACCAGAAACCTGGAAAATACACTTCTTCAGGCAGAAATTACAAAAATTTGTACTCACATTTTTCATGGGGAAAAAAATCACTCAGGTTGTATTTTTAGTCCCAAACTGGAAACTCCTAGTTCCTCAAAGAATGTGGATATCATTGATGAAAGGAGGAACATACAGACTGGAGTTAGGGAAATTTTAGGGAAGCAGAACATTGCTCAAGACTTCTGTGTATCTGACTTGCCTCTGATATGGGGTCTTCCACCCTTCTCTCTCATTAGAAATTTTTCCTTAGGAGACTCCATTTTTTTTCCTTCTTGTTACATTTTCTTGCCTTCTCTCCCCTTCATTACCATACCTCATCCTGCCACATCTCAGCAGAATCTCCAACATCTATCATTTTTTCTGCTACATCCTGGGCCAACTGGCTGGCACTGAATACTACACAGCCTGCTCTGTTTCTGTCTCCACAAATGATTCTCCAAAGTGTTCAGGACCTTTCTCACACACTCTACAGATGAACATTACATTGTTCCTGCTCCCAGCCAGTCCAGCACACTCAGCAATATTCTCATCTACAGCTGCTGTACACTGAAAAGTTAAAACCTCTGTGTTGGGAAGCTGGACTGTGGGAATCTGGGACACATCACTGAGAAAACATCCTCAGCCAAGAGCAGAATTAACATTTATTGAATTTTTTTTTTTTAATGAATCAACACACCATGTGCTGAAGGAGAAAGAAACACTACAGCCATGAATAACTTTTCCCTTCAGAGGAAGGACAAGGGCACTCCACTGAATGCTCTTCTTTCAAATTCTGCCTCAGCAATTTGAAGGACAAGTATCCTTTCATGTAACAGTGATGGCTTTTTCCACATCATTGAGATACTGGCTGGACCAGGAGGCAAGGGAAGTGATGGAGAATTAGGACCGTTGTTTCTGAAGAGGAGAGTGGAAAGGTTCACAGTAGGTCTTTAACACCAGCCTGAACTATTTAATCCAGGACTGACCTCCAGCTTGTAGAAGATGGAGGGGCACAGGCTGGGAACTGAGGTACTTTGAAACTCAGATTTTATGTCCTTCCTCAGAGAAGCTTGACTGCCTGCTCACAAATTCGATAGCAACTTGTGATGCAAAGGACATTATTCCAGTTACTGTAAGTGTTGGGGTCTCCTTTTCCCTTGACATGAATTGCAGCACATTTTTCTGCAAAGAGTAAATTAGGCTCCCCAGGCTTCCAGAACCTGTAAAAGAAAGTTCCTTTATTGGAAACACACTACATGCTTGACAGTGGATGTGGAGTCACCTCAAAGAGTTGTGAAAGAGAAAAGGAAAGTCACTGTGACAGAAATCAGGAGCCATAGTTTTGAACAGAAAATTATGTAAGTTTTCTGACCTGCAGAGCAGCTGAAGACAGAAATCCACCTCTGACAAATACCTGCCTTACACAATGTATTGGTCTCTTGGACTGAGGGCATGAATTTTAGGACTCTCCTCACTCCACCAGGATACTCACGTGGCTGTATTTTCATATGGAGTCTGATCCACCCACTGCCACCCATTTTTGTAAGCAGCTAAGCCTATGTAGTATTTTGTTTCATAGCTGTTAGTAACTTTTTCTTTTATCAAGTTGAAGAGGAACTCCTAGAAAGAAAGCACAATGTCCATGAGGGGCAGGACTGAGCACAGAGAGACATCAGGAGTCCCCGTGGGCTGGGGCAGGTGGCAGAGGGGCTGGTGCTGCAGAGGTGCAGACAGGAACGTCCCCCTCCCCTGCAGGACAAGGAGGGGCTCTGAGTCTCCTCCAGGGCCCAGCACTGTGTCTCTGCCTGCTGGCTCCCTCTCTCAACCTTGTGCACTTACCTGCTCTGCCTTGCTGGTGATCACCACCAGCTGGGAGCCCATCCCAGTGCAGTTCTGTGCACTCTCAGACCATGACATCGTGTCAGGGGACAGGAAATAGCAGTTTCCTTGAAACCTTCTCCAGCCCTTTGGGCAGCAAGTCCAGCCATTCACTGTGGGGGAAAAAAATCCTGCTTTTGAACAAGATGTGCTGTCCTTCATGGCTGTGAGTTCACTATAGGCTCCCAGGAGTTAGGTGTGGGGTTTGAACCCAAAGCCTGGACTGAGATAAATGCTCTCTTCTGCTCTCCACAAGTAAAGCTGTCAGCAGCCCAGCAGGCTCCTGTCACAAAGCCCCTGCCTGAAGGGGCCTCTTCCCTTTCTCTCTCTGTGCTGCCATGTCCATGCAACCTCTCTTTGATGAGAGACATGGTTTCTGCCTTACCCTTCTTGAGGAAGCAAGATGGGAAGTAGTTGGCTTGCGTTTTTCTAGAAACACTTCCATCAGAAAAGAATTGTCCAAGCTCTCAGCTCATGCAGATTCAGAGCCTGACAGCAAACTGCTCTGACAGCCTTGCTGCCACCACAGGCAGTTCCTTACACAGGCAGCTTATCCAAGAGATCTGCTTTATGCCCGGAGTCAAATGGTGGATGAAAAGCTACAGATATGTTCTCACAAAGGTTGAGGCTGCATGAAAAGGAATCTCTGACCTGAGTTTGAGAACTTGCACTACCAGCATTCCAGCACTCCATATTACCATCCTTTCATGTGTGTCTGCAGCTCAGCTCCCCAGCTCTTCTGAACTAAACATCATCCTCCCTCCACTGTCCCTCACACTGACCATCATGCTTGTGTGAACAGGCAGTGAGCCAGCACAGGGAGTGGAGCTGGATTGAGCCAGCCAGTATAAAAGCACTTTCATCTAAATCAATAGACTAGACTTGCAATAGAGGGGTTGTGTTAGGGGAAGAGTAGGAAGGTTGGTCAAGTGCAGGTATGGAATGACCCACCCTCTTTTACTGACCCAGACTATGTGTTCATAGCATTCTTTGTAAAGATGTACAATAGAGTGTCTTCTTATCTCAATTCCCTAGATTCCTTCCTTAAAACAATCTACTTGTGACTGACAGTACTATTCCCCACCACAAATGTTGAGGGGGAACCAGACAAAATTTTGGTGAAGTCGTTTTGTTACTTCTGAGGCCCTCAGAATCCCTCACCTTTCTCTGCAGAACTGCTGGGGACACAGTACCACTCTGTAGAGTTCTGGAGGAGAGTCTTGTATGGGCCATAGCTTCCATCAAGTAAAGCCACTGAGAAGAGAGGAAACCAAAGCAAAGTGCTACTGTCATCCTTTTCAACTCGTGCATGAGCAACCTGTGCTATCCTCCCCCTTCTACTTTGGAGACCCAGAAGAGACTGTGTTATGTTAACAAGTGATGAAATCTGGATTGAGCAACGAGGTAAGAACAGCAGGCAACTTCTCCTACTACCCGTCATTCTTTCCCTTGGAAGACCTTCTCTCATCTCAGATGGCTGAGAGACTCACTTGCCCAGCTGACAAATCTGGATTAGAAATTCTCTGAGGATGAGGTGAGGAAAGGGAAAAAAAAGTCATGGGATAAGATAATAAGAGTGGAGAAGCCTGTTTTGGTGAAGGGCATTTGCCTGCTGGCAGAGGGACTAGGATATGGGTTTTCCACCTGACCCATGGCAGTCACCTGAGCCCTTCATCCCAAAGGAATTAAGCCACCCTGGAACTCACCAAGGCAGATGGTCACAAGGGCAGCTTTGATTGGAAGGACAAAAATAAGGAAGACCCAGATGTTCAGCCAGGGGCAGCTTCTCTCTTCTGCTGGGGATGAAAAACACAAAGCAAGAGTGGAAATGTCCCAGCCCAGAGTTAGAAGCAGGGTAAACGAGGGGGATCTGTTCCCCAACAACCTCCTGCCAGGGACTGGGGAGCCCCACAGGTGCTGGAAGCAGGTCCTGCAGCCTGACCCTAGCAGTGGCTCAGAGCCACAGAGTACAGATGCACAGGGGCTGCCCTGAGGCTGCTTTTTGATTTCCCTGTTTATCACAAGACCTGCCTGTATTGTGTCCAAACCTCACTCCCCCTTTGTCCTGTCAGACCTCCTTTCTCCTCAACACATCTTCCTTCTTGCCTTCCATTACTCTGTCACTGAATGCTCTTTCTGGTCCTCCCTCCTCTTTCCTCTCTCTTTAGAGTTTCTTTCTCTCACTACCTGGATTTTGCCTCTGTACCGTGAGCCCCTTTCTGCAGTGGCACAGTGCCCCAAAGGAGTGACTGCCCAGCTCAGGATGTGCACAGCCAGACACACAGAGGGATTGTTTGCACACGGGGAAGAGGCACTTGGGAGCTCTTGGGAGAGCCCTGGCCGGTTTTCCTTGGAGACACCAGAGGTGGGAGCAGGGACTTGTGCTCAGCAGGATGCAGAGAGCTTTAGCAGGGCAATCACAGAAGGATAGCACCCTTCAGCCCCATTGTTTACAGACACACCACTGAAGGGAATAGCAGGGCATGCTCTGCCTGGACTTCCATTTCCCCTGGCTCTAGAAAAAAGTCATTCTGCCAGCCTGGGCACTGCCCACTTCCCTCATCTGTTTGCTCTTGTCCTAACTCCCATCCCCTGGTAGGAGATCCTGCCACCGTCCCATGCCCAGGATCCATCCCAGCCCTGTCTTTCCCCCAATTCTTTTGACAGGAAGAGAGAAAAGAAGGGAAGTTTTGGGGTTACCTGCAGTTCCAGGACTGATTCTCCCTTGGCTATTCATTATCTCTACAAGAGGATCACCCTTCTCCAAGGATCCCTGTTACCAGTGTGGCCACAAACAGCCTTCCTCCTGCACAGGGCACCTCCCACACTGGTGAACCCCACAGCACATGGAAATTGGGGAATTTTCATCATTTCCCTGCCAGGACATTTCACAAGATGTTCATTGCAACACAGAAAGTCACCAAGGCAAAGGAAAAGAAATGAAGAGGAGCATCTCTGCAGCTCACACAATCCCCCTTTGCACAGTCTCAGGCAGTTTCTCAGGTCATACATGGCCTTCCCTCTCTGGTGCTGCTCTCTCCTGCTGAGGGTCCATGTGTGTGGAAATACATGCACAGGCAGGTATATTTGGCATTTGCTAGCAAAGGGCTAAACCCACTGAGCACAGCCTGCAAAAGGGAGCCAAAAACGAGAGGAAAGCATATCTGTGACTGAGTCTGGGCAGTGCCCATGTGCATCCTGAGCCCAGAATTCCTGAGCACAACAGAGAACTTGCCAACACTGCTTTGAGCTAATTCCTTTGGAAGGGACGTTGGGGCTTTCACCAAAGGGGTTCAATATGCCCTGGCATTGTGGGGCAGAAGGATTGCTGGGCAGTGTCAGAGTCCATGCACATTACAGATCATGAAGTCTCACTTGGTTGTGACTCCAAAATCTGCAGGACATACATGGAACTGGCTGAGATATTCCATCAGCTGGTTCCTCTCTGTTGAGAGGAATCCATTGGTGCAGAGACACAGGAATAGGAGAGCTCATAGCAACAGCACAGGCATTTCAGGTGAAGCTTCAGAAGATCAGTGCACAGAACTGCTTACAAGTGAGGACAAGTCCGAGCTCTCTGTAGAAGACATTCTCTGATTCTCTTATTTTGTGCACAACAGGCTGCAGGCAGGATCAGAACCTACATTTCTAACCATCTTTATGTAACAATGTCCACAAGCTCTCACTCCACATGGAACCACATTAACAACACTTGTGTGACCTCCAGTCTCTCACCAGCCCCCCAGGAAGTGCAGCTGCAAGAACACATCCCCTTTGTGGAAGCAGGGGTTCCCCTGGTCCCACACACTTCCTTCTGGAGATGTAGGGTTCGTGAGTATCCACACCTCTTCCAGCAGCCTGTGAACCACAGGTGAAAGCACAGGCTCACCTTGTCACCTTGCAGAACTGTGGGTCTGTGCCTGCTGCACCGATTGGGGTGACCCACAGCACTCAGCTGCCAGGGAGCTTCTTACAGACAGAGGTGGCCAAGTTGCAGAGCACCCTGGGCTCAGTGACCACTTCCTTCCCACTTCCCTCTCCTCTCTCTCTTAAACTGTTCTTGCTTCATCTAAAATTTGTTTTCAGGCTGTTTCTTCTCTGCCTCGGGAACCTTTTCCTAATGCCCTGGTTACTGTTAAGCTGGTGGTCATAGTCTTCTTTCACAGCAGTGGTTCGAGGCAAATGCCCCCTCAAATAGTGGCAGCTATTGAATTCACACAGCTCTTTGCAGTCACACTCCTATTTTTATCACCTGCTGCTGCCCAGGCCATCTGAGCAACATGAAGTGGGATGGCCAAGGCTAGAGAGGGTTCCAAGTACAAAGAACAGCAAAGTGTGCTCTTGTTCAGAAATTAACATTCTCTCTTTCTCAGTGGTTGATGACAGTTTCTCCATCAACCTGAACCTCAGCCAAAAACTATCCAGTTTTTGAAATTCCAAATGATTTGAAGGGAAAGACTTATCTGCAACACTGACATAAGGGCAAGTAGCCTGGAAGGAAACACTAACAAAGCAAAAGGCAGAAAGCACAGCACAAGTGCTAGCAGCAGGGATAACACAGGAAGAGAGAATTAATCCCAGAGAAAGTTGCTGCCACTGTGCGTGGTTGTTGTGCCCTCTCACAGCCTGAAACCAGCCCCAGAGCTCCAAGCCCCAGCAGTGTGTGAGGGCAGCTCACAGAGGCAGCTGTCAGGCTCTGCAGCTTGTGCTGCAGTTTCTGAGCTTTGTTTTCAGCAGGAGAAATTAAATAAATCCAGGAGGACACTGCGGGATTATTATCATGGAGCTTTCTGAAACAGGTTATGAAGGACCCAAGGATGAGATGGGCTCTGTTGGATCTCACACTTCCCAATGAGGCAGAAATGTTGGCAAATTAGAGGTCGGGTGCCTGCTTATCTGCCATAATTCTGATATCTTGGGATGCCAGCATCATGTGAGAAGGCAAAAAACAAAAGCCAGGATCACAACCAGCGGGTTCAGGAGGGCAAACGCTGGCCAATTATAGCATTTGTTTGCGCAACTCCCTTGGGAAGACTCCCACTTTGATGATGTGCTTCTGCACTGATCCCCACCCTGTGGGAGCCTGTGTCCTTGTATTCAAATACATCTTCAGTCAATGTATGGGAGCAACAACTGAGAGAGCCTCTCCAGTCCATTGTGCAGCACCTCTAGTCCCACAGGGGCAGCAATAGCAGGACACAGAGTGAACGTGCCCAAGACAGAGAGGGAATATGGCCTTTTTTCTGGAGAGTCCCCAAAGGCATGGGGACAACGCTGACTGTTCCTCAGGAAGCTGATCACATCCCTGACCGTGTGTCCTAGTAACTGACAGGAAATAGCCAATCTCATTGCAAAGCCAATCTTTGCCAGGCAGGAGTAACTGAGAGAAGGTTCCTAGGCCTTAACAAGGCAAATGGAGCATCTTTGGGATGGTCGTCCTTCACATGAAGAGAGGCTGAGTTAGAAGTGTTTAGACCAGAGACCAGAGGAGGGAGGGATGGTACCAACTTCCTGACCATCTGTCTTCCACACAATATTCCCCCTCAGCCAAGTGGGGATGCAGGCTGCAGTATCCATACTCATTTCAAAAACCCTCTGTGTGTAACTGCTGGCCTCCCCATTGTCCTCACGATGAGGTTTCCTCCATCAGGCATTTTATGCTTCTCCTTCAGATATCTGGAGACAATGGCGCTCATTGCTGTGGGAGGTTGTTCCAGCCTGTTCTGCTGCCTTCTGGAGGATTACAATACAGGCTCCACCTTTCACATTAGTCAGTTCCCCAGGGCTTCTGAAGTGGAGAGGCATTATCCTCCAACATGGCCTCCTCAATTCTTGCAGGGAGGCATGAGCATCAGCACCTGGGGTCTCAGGGCTCAGAGGGACATGGAGACAGACTCTTGCAGATTCTGATTCATCCCAAACTCCCAGGATGACTCAGCCTTGTTCTCCTCCTGCCCTGTTCCCATGGGCATCAGTCCATGATTAATGCAATCCTGCCTTCTTCCTACAGCCAAGGAGAGGGGACTGTGTCCAGACCCGGCAGGGGCTGATGCTCATGGCAGGCTGACCCCAGGAGTGGACACCCAGCAGAGGAAGCTGCTGGTCAGCTCTGGCCTTCAGGGACTGTGCACCTTCAGCTGGCTGCACCACAGCAGGCCTGACCCTGCTGTGCTGGGCCGGCTCTCGTGTGGAGGAGGCAAGAGAGGAAATGTGCTCCTTGTCCTGCTTGTGTGCCAGGAGTTATGGCAGAGGGGAGGCCTAGAGGGGATCCTGCATGGCAATACCAGAAATGTGTGGGAATGGTGCCAAAGACCCTGGATAAGGTGGTCCCCTCTGGGCAGACCCAAGCCCAGCACCCCAGGCTGGTGTTGGAAGAAGCTGTGCACTGCAGGGTGTGGTTTCTAGGTGTGGATGGAGAGGCCCTCACTTGCAGGGCCAGGAGGATGTGCTGTCACTACTACCCATCCTTGAAATGACAGCCAGGTAGGCCAGGCAGGAGCTGGCTCCATGAGGGCTCATCTCCTGCATGTTTCAGGAAGAAAGTCTCACCCCAGGACTCCTGTGCAGGAAGAACTATCAAGGAAGATCGAGAGGCATTCTATGAAGTGAGAGGACACAGTGGGATCATTGAGGAAGAGCACCACTGCGTTTCTTTTGCTCCCTATCCTGTTTTTCAGGCTGTGTTCAGAAGGAGGCAAAGCATGGACTATTTCATTCCATTCATCCAAAGACAGAGCCCTCTGGGGAGGAAAAGGTAGCAAGAAGTCAAAGAGCAGAAATTGCCATGAAAACTTGAGAAGGGACAAGCCAAGAGGCCAGGATACAAGCTGGGAGGACAAGTGATCTGGGAACTAGAAAAATTAACTCAAAACCAGGGAAGAATACATCGCTGAAAGGCAGATGCATGCAAATACACAGTGGAGAAGAATGTCACCATGAAAATAAACTCTGAGGGAAGTGGTTAAAATGCTGCTTTGCAGGGATGAACTTGACCCCGAGAAAAGTCCCCAAACAAGAAAATCTGTCTGGCAGTGCGTCTCCAGGAGAGGCACATTGACTCTGGCTCTAGAAATGTGACTTAGGGGGACTGAAGGAAGTCGTATTGTGCCCACAGGCAGAGAACTGGGCTTAGGCAGAGCCAGCAGGGAATGAGAGTAGGCTGAGGCAAAGAGACAAAAATGGCATAAAGAAACAGGATAAGTAGGAGTTGTGAGGAAAGGTAAGGCCTGTAACTGGGAAGAAAGCAGTGGAAGAGGGGAGAAGGATGTCAGGCCCAAAGAGGCCCTGAAGAGCACAGTGGTCATGTTCCCACCACAGGACTCCAAGGGACATTAACTCAAGTGGCGTCAGAGAAGGAGTTAGTTCTGCGTGAGATACACATCTGCATTGGGAACCTGGAGAGAACCGGGACACCAGGAAAGAGAAGGGAGGATATTTGCAGCACTGCAATTCTCCAGTTCTCTGGTACCACCACAGGTCTCAGCTGACAGCTGCTTTCTCGCAGCTGCCTGTGACACTTCTTCACATCTGCTTGTGTTATTAACTGTATCCCATGGAATGAAGTCAAATCCCTACAAGTGTCAATACTAGAGCAGCGGAAATAGCCTTGCTGAGAGGGACTTTGTACACAAGAATGTCGTGATAGGGCAAAGGGGAATGGCTTTAGACTGACAGAGGGCAGGATTCAATTAAATATTAGGGAGGAATAGTGCTTCCTTCCTAATATTTAGGAAGGTGAGGTGGTGAGGCACTGGAAACCAGTTGCCCATAGAGACGTGTCCCACCTCCGGTATGTTCAAGGCCTGGCTAGATGGGAATATGAGCAACCTGGTCTAGCAGAAGGTGTCCCTGCCCTTGACCTAGGGGGCTTGAAACTAGACTACCCTTTAAAGTCCCTTTTACCCCAAATTATTGCATGATTTGAAGGTTATACTCCCAGAGCTTAGAGGAGGAAAAGGAAAGAGAGATATGCACAACGAACACAGGATCTTTTTTCATTGCTGTGATATTGTATTTTCTCCTGTCTAAGATTTCAGAAGTTGTTCAGTAAAAGCAGTACAGCTAGAGAACATTTTGCATGTGACTCAACAAAAAGCAAACTGCTCTGCTCAAGGAGGCAAAGGATATTGAATCTCTAGATATCTGTCTTCCATTCCTCTGCCTTCCTCCTGGAGAAGTCCATCTCTTTTCTGCCACAGGCTCCTGGAGCCATTCAGAAAGAAGAAGACAAAAGAACGCAGGACCTGCTTCAAAGAGCCTGAGCCTCTCTGTGTTCCCTGAGCCACCACGTGCACTGGGGATGCTGGACAAAGCTCACTGCACTTCCACACACATGGTCCCACCCCACACAGTGAAGATGTGTCAGAGCTCCCCACTGTTCCCAGCACAGCCAGTGCTGTTCCCAGCTGCCTGCTCAGCTCCCAGCTTTACTCAGGACAGGGATATTTCCATCACACAATTACTGCTGCAGCTTCACAAATTCGATGATGCATCGTATATGGTTTGACGTTATTCCAGTTATTCAGATTTCCTTCAGGCACATGCATTACTGTGCAGTTCTCATCAAGGTTATCACTTGGTTCTCCTTGTCGCCAGAACCTGGGACAGAGACAGGCTTGTTACTCCCCAGTGTCCACTGTAAAGCACTGCTGCAAAAGGCCACAGTGGGATGCAAGGCTTGAAGGCAAGAGACAGAAATTCCCAATGCTGATTCATGGATAGAAGCAGTGCTCTTCCTCCCACTCCACATCCCACTGGCACCAGTGACACATGGAAACTGCCTCCTTCCTACAGCCTTCCAGCACAACAGGGCCCTGCTCCATCCTGCTGGGGGGAGCTGATCACCACCACTCACCCCATGCACCTCACTCCCAGCAGAGGCCAGTGTCGGCCTCCAGGGCAAGTGTGTTCTCCAGAAGAAGGCACAGCAAGGACAGCCTTGGTGCTCTCTCCCTGTGTCCCATCTCTTTCCATTCATTTCAGCACAGGCCATTTTGTGGATTTAAGTGCTGTGCAGGCCTGACAACGCTGGTCAACTATTTAGGGTTCTTGCTGATGGCAAGATGCAGCCTTTTTATGTGCTTACAGCAATGGTTTCTAGGTCACAGGTAGTTAATTCATAAACAATATCCAGCATGAATGGGGCCATGGGAACCTGGGCCATTGGAACCTGGTGTCCTACAAAGATTTCTCCTGCTGCATCTTCGATCTCAAAAAAGCAGTGGGGTCACAACCCCCTCTCATGCACCAGCTGAACCTGTCACATCTCTCCTACTTTCTTTCCCTACCAGGAATCACACCAAACACTCTTCACCCAGAGATACTCACATTGGTGTCCCATTGTACGGAGTCTTGTCTACCCATTGCCACTGGACCACTGTGTCCTTTAAAAGACCAATGTAGATATTATCTCTTTTTGTGGATGGAGTTTTCTGCTTGTAGAGGAATTCCTGGCAATCAGAGAGAGAGTGCAGTGCCCATGAGGGACAGGACTGAGCACAGTGAGACATCAGGAGTCCCCGTGGGCTGGGGCAGATGGCAGAGGGGTTGGTGCTGCAGAGGTGCAGACAGGACCATCCCCCTCCCCTGCAGCACAAGGAGGGGCTCTGAGTCCCCTCCAGGGCCCAGCACTGTGTCTCTGCCTGCTGGCTCCCTCTCTCAGCCCTGTGCACTTACCTGCTCTGCCTTGCTGGTGATCACCACCAGCTGGGAGCCCATCCCAGTGCAGTTCTGTACACTCTCAGCACAATTCATCCTATCAAGGGACAGGAAATAGCAGCTTCTTTGAAACCTTCTCCAGCCCTTTGGGCAGCACGTCCAGCCTCGCTCTGTGCAGGGAGAGGCAGAGAGATGAAGGCTACTAACAAGTGATGGTGATTGCAGAGATCCAGGTTTTCCAGGGACAGTGCTCATGTCCTCCTCAGTGACCTTTCCTGACAGAAAGTCCTTGAAAAGACAGGGATAGTTCAGACATGTCTTCCCATTGCTTTGGGGTATGGCCAGTGAGCTTTGTGTACCCAAAGCTGTGGAAATCCTTGTCGGGAGATCTCCGGTCTCTCCAAAGTTCTCTTGGGGATGTGGTTTGACTTGCCCTGCTACAGCCTCCTTGAGGCCATTAACCCCAGGGAAGAGGGGACACTGTGAGTACTGACCTGTGCCTTGTGGCACCGCTGAGTTGCACTCCCACTTTGAGAACTGCTGCTGCAGGGCTGAGGGCTGGTCACTGCTGTGGCTGAAGGGAACCACCACTGCAAAGGGAGAGGAAAGGCAGCAGCATTACCCCTTCCTCCCAGCTCCTCACCCAGCATCTCTGGCCCCTTGACTCTCCTTCCACCATTTCCCCAGCAGACATTGTCCCAGCTGTCACCTCTCCTGGCCCACACCAGTGGCACAGCTGCCTTCCCAGCCAGAAAGGGACCGTCTTCCAAGTCAGTCAGCACAGGGACCCCTGGAAGCACATCCCACTGGGGACATGCCACACACATGGCAGGAGTCATCCCTCCCAAGCCACTCTGCCATGCACATACCCACAGCCCAGCTGCCAGTCTGCAAAGCAGCCTCTCATTGTCACACTTTGTCCCTTCCTCAGCTACACATCAACAGTTCCTTTGGAGGAGTCACCCCCAGCTGGGCCTGTTCCATCAGCAACACCCAGTCCAGGTGAAGGGAATCACTCACAGCTGGAGCTGCTAAATCCAGGGTGCAGCATAAACCCCTGGGACTTACTAGCTCCAGTTGGTAGGGAACCATGCACTCTTGGTGACAGGCCACAGCCACAATCCCAAGGGTTTACTGGTAACTCCAACACACAGGAGGATGGATTAGGAGCTGATCAGGGTGTGCTTAACAATCCAGATGCCTGAATCCTGATTCTTAAAAATCCAGATTCATCCACCATTTCATTTAGAAATATTCTTACTTATGAGCAGAACAATCCTAGTGGCTCCGGTGCCTGATTAGTGAATTGCTGTAATCGAAGAAGGCTCAGAGGAGATGGGCAAGGGCAATGCCTGCCTGACCACCCCACTGCCAATAACGATGTCCTTATCCCTAGCCAAAGATAAAGGCTGTGAAGAGAGATGATTTTTACTTTAGTTCAGCTGAGGGATTTGCCCTGCTGTGGAGCTGTTCATCTCTCTAGGGATCAAAAAGGGTCAGTGTCTTCCTCCGATACCTCCGTGAAAGCTCTGTTGGCTGAGAGACACTGGTACTGCCTTAGCCTCCCTGGGGAAGCAGGGTAGGAAATCACTGGCTCACAGTCCTCTGGAAACACTTCCATCAGAGAAGAGCTGTCCAAGCCCTCAGCTCATACAGACTGAGAGAGACCTAGAGCAAACTGCTCTGACAGCCTTGCTGCCTCCACAGGCAGTTCCTTACACAGCCAGATCTCTTGGATACGAGACCTGCCTTCTGCCCAGAGATTCAAGTGGCGGATGAAAAGCTACAGATATGTTCTCACCAAGGCTGAGGCTGCATGAGAAGGGATCTCTGTGTGTGTTTTGGTGAAGGGCATTTGCCTGCTGGCAGAGGGACTAGGATATGGATTTTCCACCTGACCCATGGCAGTCACCTGAGCCCTTCATCCCAAAGGAATTAACACAACCTGGAACTCACCAAGGCAGATGGTCACAAGGGCAGCTTTGATTGGAAGGACAAAAATAAGGAAGACCCAGATGTTCAGCCAGGGGCAGCTTCTCTCTTCTGCTGGGAATGAAAAACACAAAGCAAGTGTGGAAATGTCCCGGCCCAGAGTTAGAAGCAGGGTAACCAAGGGAGCTCTGCTCCCCAACAACCTCCTGCCAGGGACTGGGGAGCCCCACAGGTGCTGGAAGCAGGTCCTGCAGCCTGACCCTAGCAGTGGCTCAGAGCCACAGAGTACAGAAGCACAGGGGCTGCCCTGAGGCTGCTTTTTGATTTCCCTGTTTATCACAAGACCTGCCTGTATTGTGTCCAAACCTCACTCCCCCTTTGTCCTGTCAGACCTCCTTTCTCCTCAACACACCTTCCTTCTTGCCTTCCATTACTCTGTCACTGAACGCTCTTTCTGGTCCTCCCTCCTCTTTCCTCTCTCTTTAAAGCTTCTTTCTCTCACTGCCTGGATTTTGCCTCTGTACCGTGAGCCCCTTTCTGCAGTGGCACAGTGCCCCAAAGGAGTGACTGCCCAGCTCAGGGTGTGCACAGCCAGACACACAGAGGGATTGTTTGCACACGGGGAAGAGGCACTTGGGAGCTCTTGGGAGAGCCCTGGCCGGTTTTCCTTGGAGACACCAGAGGTGGGAGCAGGGACTTGTGCTCAGCAGGATGCAGAGAGCTTTAGCAGGGCAATCACAGAAGGATAGCACCCTTCAGCCCCACTGTTTACAGACACACCACTGAAGGGAATAGCAGGGCATGCTCTGCCTGGACTTCCATTTCCCCTGGCTCTAGAAAAAAGTCATTCTGCCAGCCTGGGCACTGCCCACTTCCCTCATCTGTTTGCTCTTGTCCTAATTCCCATCCCCTGGTAGGAGATCCTGCCACCGTCCCATGCCCAGGATCCATCCCAGCCCTGTCTTTCCCCCAATTCTTTTGACAGGAAGAGAGAAAAGAAGGGAAGTTTTGGGGTTACCTGCAGTTCCAGGACTGATTCTCCCTTGGCTATTCATTATCTCTACAAGAGGATCACCTTTCTCCAAGGATCCCTGTTACCAGTGTGGCTACAAACAGCCTTCCTCCTGCACAGGGCACCTCCCACACTGGTGAGGGGCCTTCACAGGCTCTAATCTGATGTGCTGAAAAAGCCATATCCTGGGTGTACCCCACAGCACATGGGAATTGAGGAACTTCCATCATTACCCTGCCCAGACACTTCACGTCATAGTCACTGCAACACAGAAAGTCACCAAGGCAAAGGAAAAGAAATGAAGAGGAGCATCTCTGCAGCTCACACAATCTCCCTTTGCACAGTCTCAGGCAGTTTCTCAGGTCATACATGGCCTTCCCTCTCTGGTGCTGCTCTCTCCTGCTGAGGGTCCATGTGTGTGGAAATACATGCACAGGCAGGTATATTTGGCATTCGCTACCAAAGGGCTAAACCCACTGAGCACAGCCTGCAAAAGGGAGCCAAAAATGAGAGGAAAGCATTTCTGTGACTGAGTCTGGGCAGTGCCCATGTGCATCCTGGGCCCAGATTTCCTGAGCACAACAGAGAACGTGCCAACATGGTTTTGAACTAATTCTGCTGGGAGAAAGAATGGAGCTTTGGGCAGAGGAGTTCAGTGGGACTGGAGAACAGAAAGGATCACTGGATGGTGCTGCAGTCCCTTTGCATAACAGATCAATAATTTTGCCTCGGTTATGAGTACAAAACCTGCAAGCATACATGGTGTTCCTAACAGTTCTCAAGGAGTCCTGGATTCAAGTCCAGCAGCTTCAGACTCCTAAGGATGTCCCTAAGGATAAAGGATTCCTACTGGATCCCAATGTCCTCTGAATGGACTGAAATGGCAACTCAGCCTTTGCTCTTGTTCCATCAGCTGGTTCCTCCCTGTGGAGGGGAATGCATGGGTGCAGAGACACAGGAATAGGAGAGCTCATAGCAACAGCTCAGGCATTTCAGCTGAAGCTTCAGAAGATCAGTGCACAGAACTGGTTACAAGTGAGGACAAGCCCGAGCTCTCTGTAGAAGACGTCCTCTGATTCTGTTATTTTGTGAACAACAGGCTGCAGGCAGGATCAGAACCTACATTTGATAACCTCTTAATATAACTAATATTCACAAGCTCTCAACCAAATAAAAACATATTCAGAAGACTTGTGCAACATCCAGTCTCCCACCAGCCCCCCGTTGACTGCAGCTGCAAGGACACATCCCCTTTGTGGAAGCAGGGGTTCCCCCGGTCCCACACAATTCCTGCTGGTGTGAAGGACCGTCTGTAGCCCCCCCACTCATTTTTTGCCTCATGATTGCTGACATGGCAAAGACTGAGATCCTAGAGACCCCAGTTGCAGTTCTGGCTAGATAGAGGTGGACACTTGCCAAATGACTGCTTGCAGGTGTGTTTGCCTCCACAGTACACTGCTTTCAGCAAAGGACTGCCAAGGGGACGACTCACCCTATATGCTGGCGCCTGTTTCACGATACCTGCTCACCACAATAATTTTCCCACCTCCTAGCCAAATGAACTTACTGGGGTAAGACTGGTGATCTCCCACAGAAGACCCCTCATCTGCCTCATGACCACCGTGATGGACGGAGATTGGAGCCCCCTCCCAAGGACTGAGACTGAGATCCCTGCCACAGGGAGTGGGATGGGCTGGCCTGATCGAAGTGAGCCCAGGTGTGGTTCCTGGACCAAGAAAACAATGGCTCTTGCTCACGGCTGATGACATGACCTACACCCCTCGTTGGCTCCAAGGGACTTACTCTGCATTGTACCTGTTCCCCTTCAGGGGCTTCAATGGACTCACCTACTCCCCTTCAAGGGTTTCAATGGACTTTCGTTGTCTTTTGCATGTTCCCCCCTTCTTGACGGACAAACCCCTGAGGTAACAAACCCCTGAGTTAACCAGAGACTTGGAGATTCTCCCTGACACAAGACGGATCCCCATTGTCCAGACCACTGAGGACTTTGTCTATGCATTGGTAGCTATGCCCATCCCCCTCTTCCTCTTTTTCTCTCTATCCTTTTATCTTCCTTTCTGACCCCTCTATTGCATTTACTGTTTTGGCCCCTAAAAAAGGTGCATTTGTTATGATAAACTGATAGTCCCGTGCTATTTGTCTTTTGCACTTCTGGGATTGGTGAAAAGAACCACCAGGAATTTGCTTGTCCTAGCAGATTGTGACAGATGGAGATAGAGGGTTTGTGAGTATCCACACCTCCTCCAGCAGCCTGTGAAGCACAGATGAAAGCACAGGGTCACATTGTCACACTGCAAAACTGTGGGTCTGTGCCTGCGGCACCCCTCAGTACCACCAGTGAGGTCACCCACGGCACACAGCTGCCAGGGAGCTTCCTACAGACAGAGGTGGCCAAGTTGCAGAACAGCCTGGGCTCAGTGGCCACTTCCTTCCCAATTCTCTCTCCTCTCTCTCTCAAACTGTTCTCGATTCTTCTAAACTTTGTTTTCAAACTGCTTCTTCTGAGCCATGGAAGACTTTCCCTAATGTCCTGGTCACTACTGTTAAGCTGGTGGTCATGTTCTTCTTTAACAGCAGTGGCTTAAGGCAAATGCCTCCTCAAATAGTGGTAGCTATTGAATTCACACAGTTGTTTGCATTCATACTCCTATTTCTAACACTTGCTGCTGTCCAGGCCACTGGAAGAGGGATGAAGTATTTCAGACCCAAAGCAACTGTGAAGAGCATGGTGGTTGTGTTCCTACCACAGGACACCAAGGGACATTAACTCAAGTGGCATCAGAGAAGGAGTTAGTTCTGCGTGAGATACACATCTGCATTGGGAACCTGGAGAGGACCAGGACACCAGGAAAGAGAAGGGAGGATATTTGCAGCACTGCAATTCTCCAGTTCTCTGGTACCACCACAGGTCTCAGCTGACAGCTGCTTTCTCACAGCTGCCTGTGACACTTCTTCACATCTGCTTGTGTTATTAACTGTATCCCATGGAATGAAGTCAAATCCCTACAAGTGTCAATACTAGAGCAGCGGAAATAGCCTTGCTGAGAGGGACTTTGTACACAAGAATGTCGTGATGGGGCAAAGGGGAATGGCTTTAGACTGACAGAGGGCAGGTTTTGATTACATATTGGGAAGGAATACATTACTATGTGGTGGTGAGGCACTAGAACCATTTGCCTATAGGAGCTGTGGATGTCCCATCCCTGAAATATGTTCAAGGCCTGCTTGGATGGGGATATGAGCAACCTGGTCTAGCAGAAGGTGTCCCTGCCCTTGACCTAGGGGGCTTGAAACTAGACTACTCTTTAAAGTCCATTCAAACTTAAACCATTCCATGATTTCTGGATTATACTCCCACAGCTAAGAGGTGGACAAGAAAAGAGAGATATGCACATAAATAACATGGTCTTTTTTCATTCATCTAATTCTGTATTTTCTCTTCTCTAAGATTTCAGAAGTTGTTCAGCAAAACCAGTACAGCTAGAGGACATTTTGCATGTGACTCAACAAAAAGCAAACAGCTCTGCTCAAGGAGACAAAGGACATTGAATCTCTGGATATCTGACTTCCACTCCTGTGCCTTTCTCCTGGAGAAGTCCATCTCTTTTCTGCCACAGGCTCCTGGAGCCACTCAGAGAGAAGAAGACACAAGAACACAAAACCTGCTTTGAAGAGCCTGAGCCTCCCTGTGTTCCTTGAGCCACCACATGCACTGGGGATGCTGGACAAAGCTCATTGCACTTCCACACACATGGTCCCACCCCACGCAGTGAAGATGTGTCAGACCTCCCCACTGTTCCCAGCACAGCCAGTGCTTTCCCAGCTGCCTGCTCAGCTCCCAGCTTTACTCAGGACAGGGATATTTCCATCACACAATTACTGCTGCAGCTTCACAAATTCGATGATGCATCCTATCTGGATTGACATTATTCCAGATGTAAAGTGTTACTCCAACCACATCCATTACAGTGCAGTTCCCATCAAGGTTATCACTTGGTTCTCCTTGTCGCCAGAACCTGGGACAGAGACAGGCTTGTTACTCCCCAGTGTCCACTGTAAAGCACTGCTGTAAAAGGCCACAGTGGGATGCAAGACATGGAGGCAAGAGACAGAAATTCCCAATGCTGATTCATGGATAGAAGCAGTGCTCTTTCTCCCACTCCACATCCCACTGGCACCAGTGACACATGGAAACTGCCTCCTTCCTACAGCCTTCCAGCACAACAGGGCCCTGCTCCATCCTGCTGGGGGGAGCTGATCACCACCACTCACCCCATGCACCTCACTCCCAGCAGAGGCCAGTGTCGGCCTCCAGGGCAAGTGTGTTCTCCAGAAGAAGGCACAGCAAGGACAGCCTTGGTGCTCTCTCCCTGTGTCCCATCTCTTTCCATTCATTTCAGCACAGGCCATTTTGTGGTTTTTAAGTGCTGTGAAGGCCAGGCAAGGCCTGTTAACTATTTAGGGTTCTTGCTGATGGCAAGATGCAGTTTTTTCTGTGCTTACAGCAATGGTTTCTAGGTCACAGGTAGTTAATTCGTAATCAATATCCAGCATGAATGGGGCCATGGGAACCTGGGCCATTGGAACCTGGTGTCCTACGAAGTTCTCTCCTGCTGCATCTTCGATCTCCAACAAAGCAGTGGGGTCACAACCCCCTCTCATGCACCAGCTGAACCTCTCACATCTCTCCTACTTTCTTTCCCTACCAGGAGTCACACCAAACACTCTTCATCCAGAGATACTCACGTGGGTGTCCCATTGTATGGAGTCATTGCCATCCACTGCCACTGGCCCACCTTCATCTCAAACAGACCAATGTAGAAATTATCTCTTCCCACAGGTTGACTTATCTGCATGTAGAGGAATTCCTGGCAATCAGAGAGAGAGTGCAGTGCCCATGAGGGACAGGACTGAGCACAGTGAGACATCAGGAGTCCCTGTGGGCTGGGGCAGGTGGCAGAGGGGCTGGTGCTGCAGAGGTGCAGACAGGACCGTCCCCCTCCCCTGCAGGACAAGGAGGGGCTCTGAGTCCCCTCCAGGGCCCAGCACTGTGTCTCTGCCTGCTGGCTCCCTCTCTCAGCCCTGTGCACTTACCTGCTCTGCCTTGCTGGTGATCACCACCAGCTGGGAGCCCATCCCAGTGCAGTTCTGTACACTCTCAGCACAATTCATCCTATCAAGGGACAGGAAATAGCAGCTTCTTTGAAACCTTCTCCAGCCCTTTGGGCAGCACGTCCAGCCTCGCTCTGTGCAGGGAGAGGCAGAGAGATGAAGGCTACTAACAAGTGATGGTGATTGCAGAGATCCAGGTTTTCCAGGGACAGTGCTCATGTCCTCCTCGGTGAGCTTTCCTGACAGAAAGTCCTTGAAAAGACAGGGATAGTTCAGACATGTCCTCCCATTGCTTTGGGGTATGGCCAGTGAGCTTTGTGTACCCAAAGCTGTGGAAATCCTTGTCAGGGGATCTCCGGTCTCTCCAAAGTTCTCTTGGGGATGTGGTTTGACTTGCCCTGCTACAGCCTCCTTGAGGCCATTAACCCCAGGGAAGAGGGGACACTGTGAGTACTGACCTGTGCCTTGTGGCACCGCTGAGTCGCACTCCCACTTTGAGAACTGCTGCTGCAGGGCTGAGGGCTGGTCACTGCTGTGGCTGAAGGGAACCACCACTGCAAAGGGAGAAGAAAGGCAGCAGCATTACCCCTTCCTCCCAGCTCCTCACCCAGCATCTCTGGCCCCTTGACTCTCCTTCCACCATTTCCCCAGCAGACATTGTCCCAGCTGTCACCTCTCCTGGCCCACACCAGTGGCACAGCTGCCTTCCCAGCCAGAAAGGGACCGTCTTCCAAGTCAGTCAGCACAGGGACCCCTGGAAGCACATCCCACTGGGGACATGCCACACACATGGCAGGAGTCATCCCTCCCAAGCCACTCTGCCATGCACATACCCACAGCCCAGCTGCCAGTCTGCAAAGCAGCCTCTCATTGTCACACTTTGTCCCTTCCTCAGCTACACATCAACAGTTCCTTTGGAGGAGTCACCCCCAGCTGGGCCTGTTCCATCAGCAACACCCAGTCCAGGTGAAGGGAATCACTCACAGCTGGAGCTGCTGAATCCAGGGTGCAGCATAAACCCCTGGGACTTACTAGCTCCAGTTGGTAGGGAATAATGCACTCTTGGTGACAGGCCACAGCCACAATCCCAAGGGTTTACTGGTAACTCCAACACACAGGAGGATGGATTAGGAGATGATCAGGGCGTGCTTAACAATCCAGATGCCTGAATCCTGATTTTTAAAAATCCAGATTCATCCACCATTTCATTTAGAAATATTTTTACTTATGAGCAGAACAATCCTAGTGGCTCCGGTGCCTGATTAGTGAATTGCTGTAATCGAAGAAGGCTCAGAGGAGATGGGCAAGGGCAATGCCTGCCTGACTACCCCACTGCCAATAACGATGTCCTTATCCCTAGCCAAAGATAAAGGCTGTGAAGAGAGATGATTTTTACTTTAGTTCAGCTGAGGGATTTGCCCTGCTGTGGAGCTGTTCATCTCTCTAGGGATCAAAAAGGGTCAGTGTCTTCCTCCGATACCTCCGTGAAAGCTCTGTTGGCTGAGAGACACTGGTACTGCCTTAGCCTCCCTGGGGAAGCAGGGTAGGAAATCACTGGCTCACAGTCCTCTGGAAACACTTCCATCAGAGAAGAGCTGTCCAAGCCCTCAGCTCATACAGACTGAGAGAGACCTAGAGCAAACTGCTCTGACAGCCTTGCTGCCTCCACAGGCAGTTCCTTACACAGCCAGATCTCTTGGATACGAGACCTGCCTTCTGCCCAGAGATTCAAGTGGCGGATGAAAAGCTACAGATATGTTCTCACCAAGGCTGAGGCTGCATGAGAAGGGATCTCTGTGTGTGTTTTGGTGAAGGGCATTTGCCTGCTGGCAGAGGGACTAGGATATGGATTTTCCACCTGACCCATGGCAGTCACCTGAGCCCTTCATCCCAAAGGAATTAACACAACCTGGAACTCACCAAGGCAGATGGTCACAAGGGCAGCTTTGATTGGAAGGACAAAAATAAGGAAGACCCAGATGTTCAGCCAGGGGCAGCTTCTCTCTTCTGCTGGGAATGAAAAACACAAAGCAAGTGTGGAAATGTCCCGGCCCAGAGTTAGAAGCAGGGTAACCAAGGGAGCTCTGCTCCCCAACAACCTCCTGCCAGGGACTGGGGAGCCCCACAGGTGCTGGAAGCAGGTCCTGCAGCCTGACCCTAGCAGTGGCTCAGAGCCACAGAGTACAGAAGCACAGGGGCTGCCCTGAGGCTGCTTTTTGATTTCCCTGTTTATCACAAGACCTGCCTGTATTGTGTCCAAACCTCACTCCCCCTTTGTCCTGTCAGACCTCCTTTCTCCTCAACACATCTTCCTTCTTGCCTTCCATTACTCTGTCACTGAACGCTCTTTCTGGTCCTCCCTCCTCTTTCCTCTCTCTTTAAAGCTTCTTTCTCTCACTGCCTGGATTTTGCCCCTGTACCGTGAGCCCCTTTCTGCAGTGGCACAGTGCCCCAAAGGAGTGACTGCCCAGCTCAGGGTGTGCACAGCCAGACACACAGAGGGATTGTTTGCACACGGGGAAGAGGCACTTGGGAGCTCTTGGGAGAGCCCTGGCCGGTTTTCCTTGGAGACACCAGAGGTGGGAGCAGGGACTTGTGCTCAGCAGGATGCAGAGAGCTTTAGCAGGGCAATCACAGAAGGATAGCACCCTTCAGCCCCACTGTTTACAGACACACCACTGAAGGGAATAGCAGGGCATGCTCTGCCTGGACTTCCATTTCCCCTGGCTCTAGAAAAAAGTCATTCTGCCAGCCTGGGCACTGCCCACTTCCCTCATCTGTTTGCTCTTGTCCTAACTCCCATCCCCTGGTAGGAGATCCTGCCACCGTCCCATGCCCAGGATCCATCCCAGCCCTGTCTTTCCCCCAATTCTTTTGACAGGAAGAGAGAAAAGAAGGGAAGTTTTGGGGTTACCTGCAGTTCCAGGACTGATTCTCCCTTGGCTATTCATTATCTCTACAAGAGGATCACCCTTCTCCAAGGATCCCTGTTACCAGTGTGGCCACAAACAGCCTTCCTCCTGCACAGGGCACCTTCCACACTGGTGAGGGGCCTTCACAGGCTCTAATCTGATGTGCTGAAAAAGCCATATCCTGGGTGTACCCCACAGCACATGGGAATTGAGGAACTTCCATCATTACCCTGCCCAGACACTTCACGCCATAGTCACTGCAACACAGAAAGTCACCAAGGCAAAGGAAAAGAAATGAAGAGGAGCATCTCTGCAGCTCACACAATCTCCCTTTGCACAGTCTCAGGCAGTTTCTCAGGTCATACATGGCCTTCCCTCTCTGGTGCTGCTCTCTCCTGCTGAGGGTCCATGTGTGTGGAAATACATGCACAGGCAGGTATATTTGGCATTTGCTACCAAAGGGCTAAACCCACTGAGCACAGCCTGCAAAATGGAGCCAAAAATGAGAGGAAGACATTTCTGTGACTGAGTCTGGGCAGTGCCCATGTGCATCCTGAGCCCAGAATTCCTGAGCATGACAGAGAACTTGCCAACATGGTTTTGAACTAATTCTGCTGGAAGAAAGAATGCAGCTTTAGGAAGAGGATTTCAATATGACCTGGCATTTTGGGTTGAAGGCCAGAAAAGATCTCTGGATGTTACCAGATTCACTGTGCATGACAGATCATGACATTTTCCTTGGTCTTGCCATAAAATGCTGCAGCTTTTTCATTTCATGCTTCTAGCAATTCTTCTGGGCAATTCAAATGAAACTCCTGCTGGACATTGTCCCTAGGGATTCCCTTAAGATAAAAATTCCAGCTGGATCTCATAGTCCTCTGAAGAGACTGAGATGATATGCACCTCATAGCAACAGCACAGGCATTTCAGCTGAAGCTTCAGAAGATCAGTGCACAGAACTGCTTACAAGTGAGGACAAGTCCGAGCTCTCTGTAGAAGGCATTCTGTGATTCTCTTATTTTGTCCACAACAGGCTGCAGGCAGGATCAGAACCTACATTTCTAACCATCTTTATGTAACAATGTCCACAAGCTCTCACCCCACATGGAACCACATTAACAACACTTGTGTGACCTCCAGTCTCTCACCAGCCCCCCAGGAAGTGCAGCTGCAAGAACACATCCCCTTTGTGGAAGCAGGGGTTCCCCTGGTCCCACACACTTCCTTCTGGAGATGTAGGGTTCGTGAGTATCCACACCTCTTCCAGCAGCCTGTGAACCACAGGTGAAAGCACAGGCTCACCTTGTCACCCTGCAGAACTGTGGGTCTGTGCCTGCTGCACCGACTGGGGTCACCCACAGCACTCAGCTGCCAGGGAGCTTCTTACAGACAGAGGTGGCCAAGTTGCAGAGCACCCTGGGCTCAGTGACCACTTCCTTCCCACTTCCCTCTCCTCTCTCTCTTAAACTGTTCTTGCTTCATCTAAAATTTGTTTTCAGGCTGTTTCTTCTCTGCCTCAGGAACCTTTTCCTAATGCCCTGGTTACTGTAAAGCTGGTGGTCATAGTCTTCTTTCACAGCAGTGGTTCGAGGCAAATGCCCCCTCAAATAGTGGCAGCTATTGAATTCACGCAGCTCTTTGCAGTCACACTCCTATTTTTATCACCTGCTGCTGCCCAGGCCATCTGAGCAACATGAAGTGGGATGGCCAAGGCTAGAGAGGGTTCCAAGTACAAAGAACAGCAAAGTGTGCTCTTGTTCAGAAATGAACTTGGTGGAGGACATTCTCTCTTTCTCAGTGGTTGGTGGCAGTTTCTCCATCAACCTGAACCTCAGCCTGAGCAGTCCTCCTATCCAGTTTTCTGGAATTCCAAATGATTTGAAGGGAAAGACTTATCTGCAACGCTGACATAAGGGCAAGTAGCCTGGAAGGAAACACTAACAAAGCAAAAGGCAGAAAGCACAGCACAAGTGCTAGCAGCCCGGATAACACAGGAAGAGAGAATTAATCCCAGAGAAAGTTGCTGCCACTGTGCGTGGTTGTTTTGCCCTCTCACAGCCTGAAACCAGCCCCAGAGCTCCAAGCCCCAGCAGTGTGTGAGGGCAGCTCACAGAGGCAGCTGTCAGGCTCTGCAGCTTGTGCTGCAGTTTCTGAGCTTTGTTTTCAGCAGCAAAGTACAAGCAATCCAGGAGGACACTGTAGGTTCCCTTTCATGGAGCTTTCTGAGACAGGTTATGGAGGACCCAAGGATGAGATGTGCTCTGCTGGATCTCACTCTCATCGGAGGCAGAATTATTGGGCATATAGAGCCTGAGGTCCACTTTATGTGCAGAGACTCCAACATGTTTGGATTCAGGATGCTGTCAATCCTTGAATGATGAGCTCCAGCACCTGGGGTCTCAGGGCTCAGAGGGACATGGAGACAGACTCTTGCAGATTCTGATTCATCCCAAACTCCCAGGATGACTCAGCCTTGTTCTCCTCCTGCCCTGTTCCCATGGGCATCAGTCCATGATGAATGCAATCCTGCCTTCTTCCTACAGCCAAGGAGAGGGGACTGTGTCCAGACCCGGCAGGGGCTGATGCTCATGGCAGGCTGACCCCAGGAGTGGACACCCAGCAGAGGAAGCTGCTGGTCAGCTCTGGCCTTCAGGGACTGTGCACCTTCAGCTGGCTGCACCACAGCAGGCCTGACCCTGCTGTGCTGGGCCGGCTCTTGTGTGGAGGAGGCAAGAGAGGAAATGTGCTCCTTGTCCTGCTTGTGTGCCAGGAGTTATGGCAGAGGGGAGGCCTAGAGGGGATCCTGCATGGCAATGCCAGAAATGTGTAGGAATGGTGCCAAAGAGCCTGGATAAGGTGGTCCCCTCTGGGCAGACCCAAGCCCAGCAATCCAGGCTGGTTTTGGAAGAAGCTGTGCACTGCAGGGTGTGGTTTCTAGGTGTGGATGGAGAGGCCCTCACTTGCAGGGCCACACTGTACAGGGGAAAAAGACATTTTCTCTGCCAGCAGGATTTCATCCTGCTGCAGCCAGGAAGGGCAACAGGAACAGGCAACTCCTTGAGTTGGGATCAGTGCTTACTGTCTGTGCTGATTTGTGTGGTGTTTTACATATATACATCCTCTTTCTTCCATATGTAGGAAGGAAGATATGTAGGACCTACTGTCCCTACATGCTGTGTGTCGCTGCTGCCTTGAGCTGTGCATGTGGGCCTGCAGCCACCTGCAGCACCTGCACTGCTGTTCATACAAGTGCTCCCACTGGATTAGGAAGCCAAATCTCCTGGGCACCTCTTCTCCAGAATGAATTCACCCCTCTCTCTGGGACACAGAGAGAGGATTCACTTCCATAGGTAGGACAGAGGTGTACAGACAGGAGCTGTACACAAAATTGCATTCCCTGTGGGGAGCTGGCACTGTTCAGTCAGGGTGGCTTAGGCACTTGGTGTTTCCTGAGGAAAGAGAAAAGAGGACACAGGAGGCAGGAAGTGGGAGGAGATGGAGCAAAGGAAGATCCATGGTGCCCAATGGTCTACAGCAGGACATGAAGGCAATTCAATAGGCAGTGATGTTCTGGATGGGATGTCATTCGCAGCAGGAGCCCTGTCTCTTCAGCCTCCTCTGCAGCGTGATCTGGCCTGGGCAGGCATGCCATTCCAGGCACCACTGAGGATTTGGCTTTCCAGGACTGCTGCTGCCCCAGGTGAGCCTGAAATCAGCTCTGAGTCAGGAAGAGATCTTTTTCCTCCAGGTGGATCTGAAGGCCCAGTGTGGATTATTTCCCCCATGGCAGCAAGTCCAAAGGGAGGACCACAAAGATGAAGGCAATGAGGATAGAGACAGAGGGCTGGAGCACAAGCAAAGAGAACTGGGATTGTTCTGCATGGGAAAGAGGAGATTCCGTGTTTGTCTTATGGCAGCCTTCCACGAGAGAAGGCTGGAGAGGGACTTTTAACAAGGGCATTTAGTGTATCAGGCAAAGGGGAATGGCATTAAACTGAAAGAGAGCAGATTTAGAGCAGGTATTAGTAATAAATTCTTTTCTGTAAGGGTTGTGAGGAACCAGCACACGTGTCCCAGAGAAGCTGTGCATAGCCCATCCCTGGAAGTGTTCAAGGCCAGGAATCATGCGGCTTTGAGCAGACTGGTCTAGTGGAAGGGGTCCCTGCTCAAGACCTAGAGGTTGAAAACTTGATCCTTAAAGGTTCTATACAACCCAAACCATTCCATGATTCTAGGACTTTACCTCTCCAGCTTAGATATGGGAAAAAAAAGACATATAGAGACAGAGAATTTCTTCATTGCTGTGATATTGTATTTTCTCAGGTCTAAGTTTTCAGAATTTGTTCAGCAAAACCAGTACAGCTAGAGGACATTTTGCATGTGACTCAACAAAAAGTAAACAGCTCTGCTCAAGGAGACAAAGGACATTGAATCTCTGGATATCTGACTTCCACTCCTGTGCCTTTCTCCTGGAGAAGTCCATCTCTTTTCTGCCACAAGCTCCTGGAGCCACTCAGAGAGAAGAAGACACAAGAACACAAAACCTGCTTTGAAGAACCTGAGCCTCCCTGTGTTCCTTGAGCCACCACGTGCACTGGGGATGCTGGACAAAGCTCATTGCACTTCCACACACATGGTCCCACCCCACACAGTGAAGATGTGTCAGACCTCCCCACTGTTCCCAGCACAGCCAATGCTGTTCCCAGCTGCCTGCTCAGCTCCCAGCTTTACTCAGGACGGGGATATTTCCATCACACAATTACTGCTGCAATTTCACAAATTCGATGATGCATCGTATCTGGATTGACGTTATTCCAGTTATTCAGATTTCCTTCAGGCACATGCATTACTGTGCAGTTCTCATGGCCTGGACTTGGTTCTCCTTGTCGCCAGAACCTGGGACAGAGACAGGCTTGTTACTCCCCAGTGTCCACTGTAAAGCACTGCTGCAAAAGGCCACAGTGGGATGCAAGACTTGAAGGCAAGAGACAGAAATTCCCAATGCTGATTCATGGATAGAAGCAGTGCTCTTTCTCCCACTCCACATCCCACTGGCACCAGTGACACATGGAAACTGCCTCCTTCCTACAGCCTTCCAGCACAACAGGGCCCTGCTCCATCCTGCTGGGGGGAGCTGATCACCACCACTCACCCCATGCACCTCACTCCCAGCAGAGGCCAGTGTCGGCCTCCAGGGCAAGTGTGTTCTCCAGAAGAAGGCACAGCAAGGACAGCCTTGGGGCTCTCTCCCTGTGTCCCATCTCTTTCCATTCATTTCAGCACAGGCCATTTTGTGCATTTAAATGCTGTGCAGGCCAGACAACGCCTGTCAACTATTTAGGGTTCTCGCTGATGGCAAGATGCATTTTTTTCTGTGCTTACAGCAATGGTTTCTAGGTCACAGGTAGTTAATTCATAAACAATATCCAGCATGAATGGGGCCATGGGAACCTGGGCCATTGGAACCTGGTGTCCTACAAAGATTTCTCCTGCTGCATCTTCGATCTCCAACAAAGCAGTGGGGTCACAACCCCCTCTCATGCACCAGCTGAACCTCTCACATCTCTCCTACTTTCTTTCCCTACCAGGAGTCACACCAAACACTCTTCATCCAGAGATACTCACGTGGGTGTCCCGTTGTATGGAGTCTTGTCCGCCCATTGCCACTGGCCCACTGTGTCCTTTAAAAGACCAATGTAGATATTATCTCTTTTTGTGGATGGAGTTTTCTGCTTGTAGAGGAATTCCTGGCAATCAGAGAGAGAGTGCAGTGCCCATGAGGGACAGGACTGAGCACAGTGAGACATCAGGAGTCCCCAGTGGGCTGGGGCAGATGGCAGAAGGGCTGGTGCTGCAGAGGTGCAGACAGGACCGTCCCCCTCCCCTGCAGGACAAGGAGGGGCTCTGAGTCCCCTCCAGGGCCCAGCACTGTGTCTCTGCCTGCTGGCTCCCTCTCTCAGCCCTGTGCACTTACCTGCTCTGCCTTGCTGGTGATCACCACCAGGTGGGAGCCCATCCCAGTGCAGTTCTGTGCACTCTCAGCACAATTCATCCTATCAAGGGACAGGAAATAGCAGCTTCTTTGAAACCTTCTCCAGCCCTTTGGGCAGCACGTCCAGCCTCGCTCTGTGCAGGGAGAGGCAGAGAGATGAAGGCTACTAACAAGTGATGGTGATTGCAGAGATCCAGGTTTTCCAGGGACAGTGCTCATGTCCTCCTCGGTGAGCTTTCCTGACAGAAAGTCCTTGAAAAGACAGGGATAGTTCAGACATGTCTTCCCATTGCTTTGGGGTATGGCCAGTGAGCTTTGTGTACCCAAAGCTGTGGAAATCCTTGTCAGGGTATCTCAGGTCTCTCTAAGTTCTCTTGGGGATGTGGTTTGACTTGCCCTGCTACAGCCTCCTTGAGGCCATTAACCCCAGGGAAGAGGGGACACTGTGAGTACTGACCTGTGCCTTGTGGCACCGCTGAGTCGCACTCCCACTTTGAGAACTGCTGCTGCAGGGCTGAGGGCTGGTCACTGCTGTGGCTGAAGGGAACCACCACTGCAAAGGGAGAAGAAAGGCAGCAGCATTACCCCTTCCTCCCAGCTCCTCACCCAGCATCTCTGGCCCCTTGACTCTCCTTCCACCATTTCCCCAGCAGACATTGTCCCAGCTGTCACCTCTCCTGGCCCACACCAGTGGCACAGCTGCCTTCCCAGCCAGAAAGGGACCGTCTTCCAAGTCAGTCAGCACAGGGACCCCTGGAAGCACATCCCACTGGGGACATGCCACACACATGGCAGGAGTCATCCCTCCCAAGCCACTCTGCCATGCACATACCCACAGCCCAGCTGCCAGTCTGCAAAGCAGCCTCTCATTGTCACACTTTGTCCCTTCCTCAGCTACACATCAACAGTTCCTTTGGAGGAGTCACCCCCAGCTGGGCCTGTTCCATCAGCAACACCCAGTCCAGGTGAAGGGAATCACTCACAGCTGGAGCTGCTGAAACCAGGGTGCAGCATAAACCCCTGGGACTTACTAGCTCCAGTTGGTAGGGAACCATGCACTCTTGGTGACAGGCCACAGCCACAATCCCAAGGGTTTACTGGTAACTCCAACACACAGGAGGATGGATTAGGAGCTAATCAGGGCGTGCTTAGCAATCCAGATGCCTATTTTCATAATTTGTTTTATTTAGAAATATTTTTACTTATGAGCAGAACAATCCTAGTGGCTCCGGTGCCTGATTAGTGAATTGCTGTAATGGAAGAAGGCTCAGAGGAGATGGGCAAGGGCAATGCCTGCCTGACCACCCCATTGCCAATAAAGATGTCCTTATCCCTAGCCAAAGATAAAGGCTGAGAAGAAATTTGCCTTTTGGGTTTGTTCAGCTGAGGGATTTGAGCAGCTATGGAAGTGTTATTTCCCTCAGAGATCAAAAAGAGGGTAGCGTCTTTTTGTGCTAAACCAGCACAGTAGGAATGGGTTCCTAATTCCAAAATACTGTAAGAAACTGAATGACTAACAAAAACATACCTGAAGAGAGCAATGGTCCTGAGCTGGATTTAACTCCCTTATTTTGTCTTGGTATCTGGGGACATTCTATGTCTTGATATGAAGCATACTGCAGAACTATGTCCTATTTGGGCCCCTCATAATGAGTAGGATATTGAAGCGTTGGAGCATGTCCAGAGAAGGGCAGTGGAGCTGCGGACAGGTCTGGAGCACAAGTCCTATGAGGAGCAGCTAAAGGAGCTGGTGGTGTTTATCTTGAAGAAAAGGAGGCTCATGGTTGACCTTATTGCTCTTTGCCTCTGCCTGAAAGGAAGTTGTATCCAGGTGGGGGGTCAGCCTCTTCTCCCAGGTAACAACCAACAGGACAAAAGGAAATGCTCTGAAGTTGTGCCAGGAAAGATTTAGATTGGAAATCAGTAAAAGCTTCTTCACTGAAAGGTGGCCAAGCATTGGAACAGGCTGCCCAGAGAAGTGGTGGAGTCACCATTCCCAGTAGTGTTCAGAAGACAAGTAGATGTGGCACCTGGATACATGGTTTAGTGGTGGGCTTGGAGTGGTTGGTTAGTGGTTTAACTACATGACCTGAGCTGTCTTTTCCAACATTATTGATTCTATGCTTCCATGCTTGTATGACCAGCAATTAAAATAATGTTTGTATTGTGATCCACCTGTGCATTGCAGTGGCCACTCTCTGCTACATGCAATTTGTACTGGTTTTTCATTTAAATGCTGTATTGCTATGCTAAACCAAAATCTTGTGTAGCATCAATTAACTTGGATAAGTAAAATTCTACTAAAAATTAAACCTTCCATGTGTCTCAGAAGGTATCAGGTGCTATCACCCCAGCCTAAAACTCCCCAGCCATTCGCCAGAGTACCGTGAAAAGTTATACATTTGGGAACAAAGGAGTACAAATGTCCGGGACTCAGATGCTAAGGGCAGCAAAAGGAAAGGCAGTGATTTTTCGTAATAAGATGCCTCTTCCAGAATCCAGCATGGTAATTGACAACTTGTGCAAACATACCATGAATTATCTTTAATAGAGAATGAGAATGAAACAGTCATCACAATCTTCACAAACAACATGTCCAGGAATAACCTCTAATGAACTGTTCTCCAACCAACCCTAAAAAGTTGTGAGAGTTAATTAACTGCACTATGCAGTTAATCCTGGAGATGCTAGGACTGTGAGAAAGAATTTTTTCCACTAGGACACAAAGCATATCCAAGTACCTTAGAGAGTCTAAGTGCAGATTCAGCTGCCTGTATAGACACTTGTGCTTCTGTCTCCACTTTTCCCCATCTGTCAAAAGTTCTTTTTGTGGGGAAGGAAGGTAGAGAATTGTTCCACAGTTCCAAAATGGCCATGCAAGATTGGAATGTGCAATCTGGGCACACTGACGAGGCCTCAGGGTAAACAGTGGAAGATTTGGGGGATGCATGCAGACCTGTACGAAGTCAGGGCAGGAAAACCTGAGACCTTACACAAAGCCCAGACAACCATGAAGCATGGTTTCTCTACTTTTCTCCCAACACTCCCCCCAGACCTCTCCCTTGTAATCTCCTTGCACATACTCACCAAGGAGGACAACAACAAGGGCAATGCACACCAAGAGAAGCAGCAGTGAGATCAACCATGGCAGCCAGAGTGGGTACTTCTGGGGATGTTGCTCAGGCTTCTTTTTCTCAGGAAGTCCTAAAAATGACAGAAACACACCAGACAAAACATTAAAGTCAACTATGGGTCTGTCAGTCCACAGTCCACATTACCAAGGATGTACTACTCAAGGGAGGGCTCCTTAAAAGAAGAAGAAAAAAAAAAGAATTTCATTTCTGATGTGGAAGTTACAAGGTTTGGGAGAAGGGCAGACTGGGACAGAGCAGGGAAAGTCTGTGGTTTTTGGAGAAAAGTCAAATTCAGTGAGTGTTTTCCCACCCAGCCAGTGAGCCAACAATAGTAATTGTTGGTGTTTGGGGGGTGAGCCTTCACAGGGCCTCAAAAACCACAGTGAAACAATGTCTTTCTAAATTAAGCCCAAAGTTGCTAAATGCAACATTGCTTAAACAGTGATGCTTAAGACATACAAGGAAGATTTCATGTTGATTTCTTCCCAGAAAACTTGTTCTGCCTCTTTCAGTTCCCTTAGCTTTTTGAACTTCCTGTGCAGAAGATTGGTATAATCTGAGGATGAGCGACAAAAAATGTGCAAGGCTATGATGGCACATCATCACTGGGAGATTGAAAGATATATTTTTCCTCCCATCTCTGCTTTCCAAGTCAGGATTCAAAGATTTGCTGTAATAAAACTAGGTTGTGCTAGGCTGGATATCTGGGGAGAACACAGGGCTGTGTCCAGCAGCCTGAGTAAAGTACTCGGATTAAGATTTGCCAGGACCTCACTTTTGTCTAGAGGGATATTGCCAGTACTGAGGAAGTTTGGGAGCAGGCAGGAGAGTGGGTCACAGGGAAGGAGAAGCAAACACATCTTAGGGCATTGTCCTAGCTTGTGGCAGGTACACAAGCCAGAGCAAATAGGAGGGTAAAGAGCAGGACTGCAGGACTACTCACTGCAGGACAGGAGTAAAGAAACTTTGGGAGAGAGTACTATTAAAGGTGAGATTTAGAGAGCCTTCATTCATGGTTCAGCATGAAGCTCCCAGGTCTGTCACCAGCCAAATGTGCCTGCTAGACTTGCCTAATAAGCAAGACTGTAAGAAACCTGCTCTTTGTGGAAGCCTTCTGACTACTTCCCAAAGGCTTGGGAGAGACTGCTACAGCAGGGGAAAAGGCATCATTTTTCATTATCTGGAGGGAAAATATGTGTGGACGGACAAGGTCCAGGTCTCCTCAGTCAAATGATGTTTTTCTAGCCAGAGCTTTTGCCTTAGAGAAAATAAGGAGCCCCCTCAAGATCTGGAGTCGAACCACCTACTTCAGAAATAGCTCTAACCAATCCAACTGATTTTTTTGATACATCCAGAGATTGTTCAGCCTGTGCCCAGTCAGACCTGAGCATCCCACACTCACACCCACGTGGCACAGGGAGCACTGCATGCTGTGCACCTCAGCAACACAACCAAAGTGCAGTAATCTTGTGCACACTCATTGGGTTGAACTCCCTGCAAAATGCTTTCCACAGCTGGTCTGTGCTCTGTAACATGTACAGCATGATCACAACACAACAGACTTGACGTCTTTGGAATAATAATTTGGAACACAATAGGGAACTTCCACCACCCCTGCCTCACCACTGTGGAAATGCTAACTACATCCAGAACTAACTAATCTTGGTGCACTGAAAACAGTGAGCTTTCAAGACAGACAGGACTATGTACACTATTTATTTCCATGACTCATGCCTTAGAGCAAGCAAGGAATAACCTGGAGGTGATGCCTGCTCTGTTTGGGATTGTAAAACTGAGATAAAGTTGTAAATAGGCAAGCTATTATATATCCTTAGGCAGCAGTAATTATTTATTTTAATTTTTTTAAATTATTATTCATTGATTTATGCACACATAATTTTCCTGCCCTGGAACCTGCTCTTGTGTAGGGTCCTGCATGTCAGGCAGAAGCAGTGAGCCTTACATAGAACATCTCTGTGGGTTCCTACTTGTGTAATAATGACTACAGAGTACATATTAACCAGAATATGCCTTAAAATTGCATGAAGCCTAGTAAAAGAACAATTTTACCACTGTAATTTTTAATAGGAAAAATAATTTATTAGTTTGGTATGTTAAATGTTTTTTAGGAGTTGCAGACATCAATAACAGATTTGAATCTCCCTCCAGATCTTAAATAATTCTTCTTCTGTATATTTCAGAGTGTTTAAATTTTGGGTCTCTCTTCTCCAAGGACCATTTGTCAATCAGCCATGGACAGTGGGGCTGTGTTTCTGCAGCCAGTACCACTTCTCATGAAGCTGAAGACTACAACTGACTGTTTACTATAAGCAGGCATGTTCATTCTCCTACCCTCTCCACAAGCAGCAATCTGTAGTCTCACTCAGAGGCAAGAGGCAGCCAGGATTTGGGCTTATTTGCTACTTTGGGAGCCCCTCCATCTTCATGACAGATCAGATTGTTTGTAATAAACCACAGCCTCTACTGTTGGTACTCAGCAGGGTCCAGAAATTACTCTTTCAAGACTACATAACATGTAGGGTACTGAGGGAGTGCAAACAGGTTCCTTAATGAATGTTTGTGCTCCTGGTAGTCATTCTTGTTCATGTTGCAACACCCATTTGCCTTTCCTCTTGGAGACGTTCCTCAAGACTCTTATTTCAAAACTCCCTCAGTCTCCTGATCATTTAGCTCCTTTTTCTCACCAATCCATCAAGATCAGGTAGGAACCGAAGTCACAAAAGGAAAAATCTTAATTCCCTCTTCTTCAGCCCTGCTCCCTCCAGCTCCCTTTCTCCCAAATAACCCATTCATTCCTTACCTTTGACCACTGGAGTCGGCGATTCATTTTTGAACTTCACCTCAGCATAGGTGATTTCTGATGCCATTTAATCACAGTGTGACCCTGTCCTTAGTTTTGCCACATAAAAGATGGTCCTTTTAGCTCCTTTTTTCCAGAGGAGGGCACAAATAGGTCACTGAGCCTTTCCCATCCGTTCATTCACCCTCTTCCCATCAATGAAGGCTGTGCTGAACACTGGAAGCACTGGTGATAACCCAAGAATTCCTGGGAGCTCAGAAATGCCCCAAAGAGATCTTCAGTTTCTTAGCCCAGGAAATCAGCCCTGGCACCATGGAAGATTTTGAGACATGAAAGAAAAATGAGAACCTAAGAACTGAAAAGGAAGTTGCACTGCACTGCTTCCCCATATCAGATTCTCAGCTGATAGGCTTCCTTTTCAAAACATTTATAGGTTTTTTCCCCTCTTTTCAACTTTCTTACTTAACTATCCATATTTTCATATGTTTCTTTGTCTGTTAGAAATTCTACCATTGCTCTCACATTTGCAGCTATCATAGGTCCTAGCCCAGTTTAACCTGCACTCCAGAACAAGCTGCATTTGCTGCATCAAACCTTGCAGCTATGTCTCATTCTTCAAAGTCAGCCCCAGCTGGAAGACAATACTAGAACAAATCTCAGAGTAGGAAATGTTCCTGTAGAAGTGATACTGGGGAGTTACAGCCTTAGACAGAGTAACAAAAATAATCAGAAGGTTGATATATCCATGAAGAAACAGAAGGATCAGGCTGGAGTCAGAGAGTAGAACAAGCCAAGTGGCATTTTTAAAAGCACATGTTGATAGTCTGAGAGATTATTGGGAAGAGTACACACAGAAACTTTTCTATTAAAACCTGGTCCACAGCCTGTGAAGTTCAGAGCAGTGCTTGCTTCAGACTCCATTTCAGAGGCTGAAAATGGATGGTTTACATTTTTCTGTTACTTTTCCAACACTGTAATTTATCTCCCTTACCGCTTTCTGGTAAAAACCTCTGATACCACCTTGAGTAAAATGTGCTTAGTCTGATTTCAGTGCTTAGTCTGATTTCAAGCTGGAGCAGATCTTGAAAGGAGACAAGGGAAATGGCTGCTGAGATACATTCTAAATCAGAAAGACTTCTGAGAACAAATGACAATAAGTCAGGCAGGGTGAGGAGGGTTTAGTCAGCAGATAGAACTATGGTTTGGGTTGGAAGGGACCTTCAAAGACTTCTCCAGCTCACCTGTCATGGGCAAGGACATCTTTCCCTACATCCGGCTGCTCAAAGCCCCTTCCAACCAGGCCCTAAACATTTTCAGTTAAGGAGAATCTGCAACATCTCTGGGCAATCTGTTTCAGCATCTCAGCACCCTCATTGTAAAGAATTTCTTCCTTATATCTAATCTAGATCTGGCTTTTTCACTTTAAACCTATGACCCCTTATCCTACCACTACAGGTTCCATTAAAAGGCCTCTCTCCATCTTTCTTATAAGCCCTCTGTAAGTACTGAAAAGCCATAAGAAGGTCTCCAAAGCAACCAGAAGGAAGAAGCTGGTTAGTTTGGCTAGCTGGAATTCCCTTAAGGCAGAGCAGAATGAGATGCTCACAGGACATCCAGAGAGTACAGAGGGTAACCAGAGCAGAGTTGGAGCTGAGCTAGGGCTCAGATAGTAGAAGGAAGACATGAGATAGTCTGAAGGAAGATAGTAGAAGGATAGAGATAGTAGAAGGCTGAGATAGTAGAAGGAAGACATGAACCAGACAACAGAGAAGAACTATGTGGCAGAAGATAAAGGGAATCTGAACACAGTTTATGGAGAACTGCCCCTAAGCAGTGTGAGGCAGTAACTGGATGTCTTTACCAAGGATTCTTTGTGTCTTGTGTGTCCTGAGCTAACTTTACTTCTCTTTTATGTATTGTGTGCAAAGAGGATGACTTCAACACAAGAATAAGAACAGCTACAGAAGAGAAACCTGGTCCCTCAAGTAAGCATACTGCCTGCTTCTCTTTCCAACATCCTTTCAGCACTTTCCTTTGTCGTCAGTCTTGGCCCTCTCAGTGGAATTAAGCCTCCCTAAGTCTCTGCTGAAATCTAGTTAAGCCCTCAAATTTCTTTGTTGAGAATTCAGAGCAACCTGCATGCTTCCCCCTGTCCCCACCCAACAAAACCTCAGCAGACGGAGTCGTATGGGAAAAGGGCTTACTTCCTTGCAGGGTTTCAAGATTTCCACTGTGAAGAAACAGGAAACACAATCAGCAGACAGAAAAGGAAGTTACAGAGCAGATTAATGAGTTTTTCCACTGAAACACATCTCCAAACATAGCCAAGGCATTTAAAATGCAAATTCAGGCTCTAGCTGCTCTTTTTATTAGACTACATTAGACTGCACTTAAATAGCAGTAGACAGCTCAATTCTTCTTTGTCAAACATCAGAGTTGTTGCTTGTTACCAAATTCAACCCTGAATCATACTTCCACGGGATGCAGTGCTCAGCCAATGTGTAACAACAATCACGTGATATTCCTGAGGGAAAAATTTGTCATTTGAATTTCATATACACTGATGACAAGTAAATGAGTGAGGGATAGAAACAACTGGACCCTGCAGTTAGTTGTGGTGCTGGAAAAATAATTTTTGAAAAAATAATTTAAAAAAAAAATCTTGCTTAAAAGCTCCCAAAACTCATGCTTTGCTTCCTTGCATTCTCACTGCTCTTCCTCAGTAACTCCATTGCTCCGCTTCCTGTGTTCTGCTTACTCCCCTGTCCTCCAGCAATAGCTGTGTTTCCCCACAGATCTCTTTCAGCTCAGCCCTACCCCACACTGCCGGGTGCCTCCCATGCTCTCAGCTCCCATGTGCCTCACAAGCCCCAGCTCCTTTCTGGGACTCTCACAGTTCTGCTTTCCCTCCTTACTCATGCTCCATCTGCTGGTTGCTCTGCAAGCTCTATGGCCACCCTTTGTCTCTGACCCAAAGAGAAGGCAGCAGAGGCACTAATGCTCTTTCTCCTCTGCCTGTCAGTGAGGTTTGAATAAGGTGGTATCTGCAAGCCTTTCACCCCACAGCCAGCATCCCCCAATTTAGCAAGCAGGTCCATGTGAGCAGATGAAACTGTGCCATTACACATGCCTTACTTCTTTTGAAATCCAGCTGAACCTGAGGAATCAAATTCAAATTTATAGGCAAAGAGTAGGACTGGAATCCTAAAGCTGTGACCCCACACACTCCAAAAGAAATCCCATTTTTAAATTGACCACAGCTGTGGTGAAAGCTGCAGGGAAGCGACACACTTCTTACAAGCCAGTTTGAATACAGAGGGGCAGCTGAGAGAATTGAGCTGAAGGCTGTGACTCATCACAAGTGACATGAAGGTTACACAAGGACATCACATAACCACCCAAAACCGAGACCCTCTTTAGAAGATTTGACAAAAGGCAAAATGAAGCTGACATGACTAAAATAATTTTCCAAAGGGATTATCAGAATGCATTTTTAAACCAGCTGACCTTGCAGCCAAATGAGGAAAATCGAAATGAGCATGACCTCCAGTAAGTGCAAAACCATAACAAAGCAAAGGTGTCAGAACTTCCTCAAATCCTTTATATTTGATATACTGCCTTGAGGGCAACTGAAGAGCAGGGTATAAAATAAGCAGTCAAAGAGAACAAGCACATCAAAACAAAGCTAAATTAATTATTTGTCACAATGGAATAAATTGGTGAAATTCACACACAAGAACCCTGGAGAACTAAACCAAAGGATCTGTCCAAAATGAAAGTGATTGTGCAAAATGTATGGAATTAGCAGGCATGGGCAAGATGGTCCCAGGGATTCTCAGGAAACTCAAAAGTGAAACAGTTGCTAATAGCAGTGGGTCACCTTTTGCCTTAAACTATCTTTTAATCAGCAAATCCCAGACTGGCAGGGAACTCAACAAACAAGGAGAAGGGGAGAAGTCTCAGGGAGACTTAGGAAGTTAAAGGTTTGACATCTCTAGTGGTCACATTACTATAACAAAAGAATTAAGGGATGGACATGTGTATAACTGTGATGTACTTTGGGGAGCGTCAGTATAACTCTTGTAAGGAAATCCTACCTCTTGTGGATCTTTGCCTACAGTCCTGGCATCATCTACTCTTATGGCACTTGTAGCTAGTACAGACTTCCAAGTCATTTAGATAAAAACCTAAACCAAATCCAGCGTTTATATCCCTGGACCTGGATGGAAGAGCATCAGAAGTGAATATATGTCACCTTCTTGGTCTTCCCTCTCCACATCACCTTGCTCCTTTTCAGGGATTAAGGCTATGGAGCAGAGCAGCCAAGAGAAGAGCATAAAAAGGCACTGGAACATGGAGAATGGGGACCCAGGGCCTGACACTGAGCAGTTAATAAGGGATGTCAGATGACAAATCAAAGAGATTCAGGCAGCCAGAACTCCTTGAGAGCTCCTGAGGGATTTGGCTGGTTAGAGAGTGTCTAGCAATAGGTGATCCCATTGTGTACCTTGCTGCATGGAACTGGTTAGGGAAGGGAGGGGAGGGGTAGGATGCTCCAGTTCATACTGCTGCAGAGGACAGTGTGGGAGCTCAGCAGCCTCCTGGATCGAGAGAAAGGCACCCTATGCCCTTCTCAGCAAAGGCTGACACTGGCAAGGGCTGCAGGGAGAAGAGACCTCTTCTGGAATGATAGAAGGTGAACCAGGGTTCCATACAGGTTGCTAAGAGATCAAGGGGAAAAATGGCTTCTACTGAGCTGTGAAAGCACAGGAAAAATACATTCGAGCATCCAGGGGTGAAGAGGAAACAGGGAAGTACTTAATGGACAGTGGGAAAGGGGAGTGAGAGCAATGAGTGGGATGTATTAACAGAATGTAGCACTGTAAAGCCACACAAGTTTCTGGCAGGTGGCAGCACTTCACCACAGGTAGACCTGAGTCGGCAGAAAGACACAGAATCCTGAGCAGAACCACCCAGCGTGACACGAATACACTGCCAGAGATCGGCAGCTCCCCAAAACGCTATGGTTACAGTACCATGCAGAACACAGGGGAACAAAAAAAAAGTAGGAGTAATAAAAAATAAATGTTCCTCCCCAAAACAGCTTGTGCATTTGTCCTCTGGCCACATCCCTGCCAAGTTTTAGTAAGTGCTGAGGGTTTCAAGCAGAAGAGATCATGTCCCCAAGTTACCTGAGCTGAGAGAGCTCAAATTCAGTGTGAATTGTGAAGGGAAATTCATGTGCTCACTCTAGTGTGATGATAGGTTACCAAAGTTCCTCAGGTGTAAGGGAAGGAATAAGAAAAATAAGAACATGATCCAGAGAATCTTCAAAGAGACAAGAAGCCTCAACCTGCCTCTTTACATGTAGCATTAACAGAGGATTTTCTTCAGAAGAGTGAAGATATTTTTTATTTATTTATTTCCCCTGATTAACAGATTACCAAATCAAAGCCAACAGAGGGCAGGCACATTCAGATGCAGTTACCCCAGAGCTTTGTTTTATGCCATTACTGGGAACATTGCACCTTTGTCTCCTTCCTCTTCTGGATCTGAGTCACAAGTCTCAAGGCTATGTTGGAGATCAGAACCAGATACTGCAGTTGTTTGCCACAGCACCATATCTGATTTCAAACCTGGCCAGATCCAAGTCCTGGCCAGACCCCAGTGGCCTGTTTTCAGAGGTGGGGCTGCAGAGTTTATCTTCTTAGAGTGGGCATATGGAATTTGCACGCACAAGTTGTGGCCACATAACACCTCTCTACAGAAGCAATTCTTCATGCTTAATTTCCAGTGCTAAGGATCAAACAGATCTCCACTGCCTTGAATTCTCTTTGGCTACTCTCTGCCCAGTGAGGTGAATGCACATGATCTCCCTCTCTTGAAGTGGGAATAGGGGGAGTGGAAATAAAAGCAAAAAAATGGAAAACAACCACATTCACCAAGCAAGTATGGGGCTGTCACATAAGTTCACCCAGACTCGTGCTGTAAGATTAGGGCAACTCTTATTGGAACTTAAACTGTTTCCCTCCACATCCTCTACATGCATGTAAGTGGAATGCAATAAAAAACATTCTCATAGGGAGGTTCTGGGGTGAGCTGTACTGGTTAGGCTGTCCCAGCAGGTGGTACTGGAATAGCAGCACAAGCCTCCCTGGCTCTGCAGAACTCCCTCACCCCCTCCTTTCCTCAAGGGTGGATTTATCAGGAAGACTGCAAGTGGCCTGTGCTGCCCCTTACCCTGCAGGCCCCAAGGTGGCCCTGCAGGCCATTTGCAGCCTCCCAGCCTAACTTGTGATGGCCAGCAGCAAGGTGATAGGACATCACCTGCCTCCAGAGCAGCCATCCCATGTGTCCAGTCAGGATGGGACAAAGCCAAAGCCATCTGGAAACAGCCATAGAAAGCTGAATTAAGTCCAGGGAGTACAGTCAGCTCAACCAAACACTCCTTGGCACCTCATCAATGAAACATGATGGGAAAGTTTTTTGGCAGGGAGGCTCCAAGCTTTGGGGTTCAACCATATGCAGGACCCTCCTCATGACACAGATGCCAACACCATCAGAGGGGGAAAGGCAATTTTTTTTTAAGAGCACACTCTCCAGGTGCCTGTGTCACCCACTTTTACCATGCCAGGACACTGAAGTCAGCACAAGGAAGCAAAGGGTGGGCAAATGGCACCCTAGGGTGCCAGCCTCCAGCACAGAGCTGGCACTGACCTGAGGCCAAAGGGCTCGTGCTGCCGACTCCCTGCCAGCTGGGACTGACAAAAAGGACAAAGTGCTCCTTGATGTATCTTAAGACTCTGCCTCCAAAGCACAGTTATTTGCCTAATTAGCATTTTAAGACTGGACAGGACAGGCTCAGCCCGCCATCCTGCTCTTTGCAGAGCCTCTGCCCTTTCTGAGGTGAACAATGACTGTCAGATCTCAGCATCCCCTTTCACTGACCAACCCCCCACCTCAGACATCTCACCACACTGCTGGCCCAGTGTGGGACACTCCACAGCACAGCTGAGCACTAAAGTTGTGCTAGGAAATACTTCAGACTGGAGGTATCTTGTTCAAACCTTGCTCAAATCAGGACTACTTTTGGAGCTAGACCAGGGTACCCAGGGCAGGTGCTTACAGTAACCCTGTTTTGTATGGGATGTATCACTTAAGGGCTTTTCCTGCTTTTCTACCCAAAAATAGTGATTTCCAAGCACACTTTGTACATGCACCCATGGTATTGAGTTCAGCTTTAAGTACTGGTGACAGCAGCCCGTAACTCTGGGCCATACATACAGCTGTGTCTGCACCCACTTAGCATATATTCTCCAAAGAAAATGCTTTCCTACCCCTTCTTTCTCACTTGAACCCAGCTCCTTGTCCCTGCCAGCTAACCAAAAGGGTGGTTTGTCTAACACTACCAACGTAGATGTTCACACATCTTTGAACAATTTGCTTAACACCATAAACATGGACTCATAAACAAGTGTTTAGCCACCACTTTAAAGTTAGGCCCAAAGGAATGGAACTCCTCCTAGTTTTTTTTAAGATAACAAACATCCATACCTGTGTGCACATGGACCACAAGAGTGGATGTGTTCCTGCCCTGGCACAGCTCAGTTCCAAGCCCTACAATTCCATGTTTGTGCATAAGGGCACTGAAGCATAAAGGGCAATAGAATAGCAGGACATGGCTACATTTGGAAGCATCAGTTCCATCATTGCTAAACTATCAAACTACAAATCAGCAGCTGTGATTTCTTTTCAGAGAGCACCCCACCAGTGCTAACCAGGTGATGTCCGCTTGCATCCCACCTGCCACCCTCTCGGCTGCTGGGCGCCCAGCCAGCCCCTGGTGACGGAGCCCAGGGATTGTGGAAAAGCCCGCAACAAAGGGATTCGGCAGCAGATGGCAGCACACGGTCACGGGTGAGACTGAAACCAACGCCTGGTCGCGGCTATCACCAGCCCGGCCAGGCTCGCAGACCAGGCTTGGGAGGGCAGGGAGCACCACACCTCTGTACATGCCTAACACACAAGGCTCAGCACAAAGGCTGCAAGTTACAGGCGGCTCCCTCCTTTAGGGAATGTCTCTTCAGACTGCTTCAAGGCTTGAAAAGCCAGTCGACTAAGCAAGGCAGCTGCCTCAAACTCAACACGCAGGAGCTGCCATCCTACAATGCCTGGGGAAGAAAAGGGAGAGCAGGCCATTCATTGCAAGTCACCTGCCTGGCCTGCCCCAAACACAAGTGATGCAAGAAGTGCATGCCAGGATCCCTGCAGTGACTGGAAAACATAGCTGTGGTCAGGAGCCACTACAGGGTCCAGCTGCTGCTGGCTGATCTTCCTATGTTCAGCTTCAAGGAACATCCATCATAGCCCCAGCTCTGGATGGGGACATCCAGCTAGAGGTAATGGCAGGTGGCAAAATTACCAAAATTACTATTAGCATGGACAGAGCTATTGTCTTGGAAGAAAAAAGACCAGTAAGTCTTCAGAGTGAGAGTCTATTGTTCACATAATGTAATGAGCACTCATCAGACTACCTAGACCTGGAGGCATTACAATGTCTGTTAATCACTTGTGCCATAGTGCTCTGCTTATATACATAAACAGCCCCGTTGTTCTTCCTCCTAGAACCTTGTAGGTTTATGCTGATTTAGCAGGATAAGTTCAGATTCAGATCCTTTTACCTCATTATCAAAGCTCAGGAAGAATTTGGGGGTTTCGGTTTCCTGTTTGGTTTTTGTTTGATTTCCTCCAACATACAGCCATTCTTCTCCATTTCTTCAGGAGTCCAAACATAGCATCAAGGCTTTGTGAAATCTGGCAGGTTTGTGTCTACAATCCATATTGTGTGGCTGTGGTAAGAACAGTTGCTGCATAGCAAGTCACAGAACATAGAACATAATTAATGGGAGATGGGGCAGGGAAATACATATATCCCACCTCAACTACAGCTTCCACAGAAGAATTGACAACCAAAAACCAGACAAAACTGGGATCTTCCTTTTGACACTTGTTTCCTGATTCTTTCTAGTGCTACAATCTGTCTCCCAATTGGAAGAAAGGGAAAACTTGCACAGGACTCACCAGGCTGTACATTCTAGGTCTTGCTGTGAGGAAAGGCATGAGGCCTGGGAAGATTTCCACACATGACTAAGCTCTCCCTCATGACCTGTTTCCCAGTCTTCTGTACTTCTTTATGCACAAACAGAAATATCCCAGCCCTTCCCTTAGGAGAATCTGAAAATTCTCCTGGAGAAAGACCCTTTTAGGCTTTTCAACTGTTTCTGCTGCAAGTACCTACTGAAAGGTCTGAGAAGCTCCAACATAGCTTATGGGTAAAATGCTACATCTTCTCCCTGCCAGGACCTATACAACATACCCATCCTATTTATGAAAATAAGGTAAAAGCTTTGGTCCTAGAGCTGAAAAAAATGTCTTTTTTTTTTCCTCCAGGCACTACAGATATTAGAATGCTTGACAATTCAAATAGCTGACTTAAAAGGTTAAGACTTCTTATCTTTACCCAGGCCACAAGACTTGTATTGTACTTCCAACACAACCATATACACAGCTTTGCTGTCTGGCAGAGAAACGTGGAGCAAGCATGCTGTGCAAGATGGCTACAAGCAGGCCTGATAGAACAATGTCAGGGCCCTGAACATATTCTTCACCTCCTAGGGGATTGGCTGGACTCAGGTCCAGTTTAAGTAATAGCGGTGTTTGGCTTTGAGAAACCTCAGCAACATTGACCTTATCATAGCTAAGTGTCACCCTTGGACCCTGCCTGAGCTAGCACAGCCATGTCCTTGTCTGGCCACGTATTCTGCTATCCAATCCTCATCCTGACCTGTTCTTTGTGCTTAGGTACTTCAGGACTGCTCCTCTGCTGGTGAGGCCACTGCCCCCGCCTGCCCTGCTGTGACTCATCTTCCTGCTTCCTCTCTTTCCAGTCTGTCCTTGCTGCCCCTAACAAAGGGCCCACTTGGCTCACCTTGACCATCTCTCTAGCAGGCAGAAACTGTTTCCCATCTACCAGCATGGAAAGAATAATTTTTGAAAATATCTGCAGGCTGTAGAAGCCTTTAATGTCTGAAATGCTAAATATCAGGGCAACTAAGTCTTCTCACTTACTTGTTTTATCCAGACTTACCAAGTCCCCCAGGAACCTACACTCAGGCCTGTTTCCATGTTGTTGATTTGTGCTTGGTACTGTGCCAGTTTTTTTGCCGTATGTGGAACAGCCGTGTCATTTTTGTGTCCTTTTTCCACACTCCTACCTCTTTGCCCAGACAGAACCTGAACCCATCACTCCTGGAGTGGTCTTGTTCAGTCTGCAGGCCACAACAGATATGCAGAAGGATAAGCAGGCTGTGAGGATCTTGCTGGAGACATGCAGACCTTCAAACTAGAGGCTTCCAAAGCAAAAACATTTTGACAACTTAAAATACTTATCATATTTTTTTCCCCAGTATTACTTGTTTAATTACCATTTGCACCGGTACATCTTATGCTTTATATACATATATCTTTAAGTTTTGCTTCTTCAGCTTTTCAAATACATAATATATTATCTCCAGAATACTAAGACAATACAGAAGAGGCTCCTAGTTAAGTTGTTAATTGGTGCCAAAAACTTCCTTGGTTGGGGAATTGATACATAGTTGAAATAGTTGAAATGACAGGACCTCACAAGGACGTGAGCAAACAAAAAGACAAAGAAAACAAAATGCCAACCCAGGAGTCTCTGATGTTGCTTGCAGACTACAGCCATCCACAAGTTCAGGAGGCAAGAAGTTGAAGTACAGTGAGACTGCAGGAGTGACTATAAAGGCAGGGGAGGGCTGGCAGGGGGAAACACCAAGAGAGCCAGGGAATCAGGGTTAAATGCCTACTTAAAACACATCCAAGAGCAGTCTGGTCCCCACTTCCACAAGTGGAACTGCAGCAGCTTTAGAGCTATTTCAAGAATGTTCCTCCTCAGAGGGATGGTCTAAGCGAAACTGTCTCCAAAATGCCCTCACTGTAGCCAGACAAAAATGACAAAAGACCTTTGCCAATACAAGGTGCATACATATAACTACTCTTTTAAAAGCCTCACCAGAAAATTTTTGCTCAAAGGGAAACATTTCCTGGCGTAGGTGTGCTAGAGACAGAAAAGTGTTGATGTGTTGAGTGTTCAAAACAGGAAGAAGCTTCCCAGCAAAGCACCAATGCCCTAGTGTTCCAGCAACTGGGTACAGCCAAGAGTTACTGAGACCAACTTCCCAGCTAGTGTTTGGGGCTTCTGTGCTAGCATGAAGGGTAGCAATTCAGCAGCGTGAGGTTTCCAGCCTGCCCTGTGAGTTCACCAACAGTAACCAACAGACTTATACCCCAGATCACATCCACAGCTGCTGAAGATGAAAGAGTGTCCACGCTGCCTCACGAAACTCTCCCAAAGAAAAAGTAGGAAGTCATGGCTTTTTACCTCTTTCTAACTCCCTTAACCACACAGGAAATAGAGGGGGCTTGGACACATTAAAAATAAAAATATAAGTTCAATAACCAGCTCACATCCCTAAAAGTCGGATTCAGAAGAAAAGTCAAAATAAGGAACAGAGGTGTGAGAATTTTGCTCCCACAGATCTGAGGATTGAGCCTACTATACATTTCTTGCTCAAATGAGTGAGTTAAAAAGGGGAAGGAGACTGTCCATCACAGAATAATCTCTTGTCCCACCATAATTCTTACTGTAGATATGCAATACTTGTAACACAGTGCCAAGTTACAACACAAGGCCAGGGCTCAGGACAGTGATGCAGGAACATGAAATGCTGAGTGGTGGGAATCACCTGCTTGTCATCTAGTACAAGTAACTACCAAATTGTAAAAACATGCTTTTTTTTTTCCCTTTAAAGCTATTTCCAGTTAAAACAGCTCAGTGACAGTGAGGCCTTTGCCTGGGGAGAAAGGAGTTAAAATGAGAGAAGTTCCTCCAGTGAACCTGCAATCCAAATCAGGAGCCTTGAGATAGCGTGCCCACCTGGAACTACAGCGCAACAGCAGCAGGCCTACTCAAGGACTTGCATGACTCCTCCCACAGGAGCACAAGGACATGCAGCACTACCAAGAATTGCACCAAAGACGGAAGAGTAGTGTGTGCATGGGGAGAGTCACTCCTCACCACAGATGTCATTAATCCAAGAGGGTTTTGTGCTGAGAAAAGACCTATCTCCTTAGAGGTTCCATTTAGCAGGTGTAGCCAAATGCAGCTGTCCTCAGCACTGCAGGGGCTGCAGCCACTACTGAAAGCAGCCACAAAAAGCAACAGCCTAGCCAGAGAAAATTTGAAGGACAAGGAACCCAGAGGCATCTACCCAGCTTCCTCCTGTACCCACTTTCTTCAAGATTCTTGCTTTCCCTGCACGGGAAGACAGTGAAAAAGAGCTAGGATGTACCATGTAATGGACAAGTGGATGGAGGCGATAAGGCTACCTCTTTTCTCCTTGCCCATCTTGGGAGGAATCAGTATGTTCTCTTTAGGTTCAGTGGGATCAAAAATAGGAAGTTTAAGTGAAGGTCTGATCTAAAAATGAAGGATTGTCCCAGTTTGATTGAAGACTAGAGAGGTTTGTGCCCCCTCTGATCCCATTTGGTGCTTCTAGGTCATCAATTTGTCCCATTCCACTGCTTTGATAATTCAGAACTGGACCCAGTTGGACTGCTGAGGAGCCTGATTTGGAACAGCACTGAAACAAAAAAAAGGAAAATCAAATAAGGAGATGCAGTAAGACTTCTTAACTTCTCGTTCTTCCCACACCCATCAGGACACTACCCTTCTTCTGTTCCATTCATTACAGTTTACCTGGATGCAGTGCTGAAGTCTCCCCAGAGATCTGTGGTAGCTGATACTGGTGCCTTGGATGCAGCTGCAGGAGCATCTAAATCTAAAAGAATATCTAAAGCAGAAGATAGAGAGAAAAACAAAAAAATACATCAGCTTATCCAGAAAACCCTATAGGCATTTTAACTGTCAACTTAAACTCCTGGATGCAGGGCAGAAAATCTTTGAAGGGAACTCCAGCTTTCCCTGCAGAATTCAGAATTTTGAGGGGCTTGTTTTAACAGCATCTCCTTTTGCTAAATGTGCACACCTCCAGCTGACACTGCAAGGGTACATTGTCTCCAGGAACTATTCAGTCTCCACTCAGCACATCACCTGACACATTTGTCACTTTTTACCTCTCCCAGCAGACATAAGGCTCAGACTCAACCCAAGCTCAGCAATCATAACAGCCACCACCTCAAAAGTACAAACCACACACTGGGACCACATGAGCCCTGCTCAGAAGCTCGTGTTTTCTTCTCACTCAAATCTGTGGACAGCACTGCTGAAGTCAGCCTTCACAAAGGGATCATCAGCTCTCCAGACACCTCTGCATGGTGTCTGGACTTTTAACACAGCATCCAGAAGACTGCAGCAACCTCTTTGTTACAGTATCACAGGATGATTTATGTTGGAAGGGACCTCCAACGACCATCTCATCTAGTCCCACTGCCATGCCATGAGCAGGGACATCTTGCACTAAATCAGGTTACTCAAAGTCCTGTCCAATCTGGTCTTGAACATTTCAAATGAAGGAGTATCCACTGCTTCTCTGGGCAACCTGTTCCAGGGCTTCACCACCCTCATGGTAAAAATTTCTTCTTTATATCCAGTGTAATCTACCCTCTTTCAGTTTGAGCCTCTACCCTTTGCCCTGTCACTACAAGCCCTGGTAAGAAGTCTTTCTCCATCTTTCTTACAAGCTCTCTTTACATAGTGAGACATCACCCCAGAGCCTTGTCCTCTCCAGGCTAAACAACCCCAATCCTCTCAGTCTTTCTTCACAGGAGAGTTGTTCCAGCCTTCTGACCATTCCCATGGCCTTCCTCTGGACCCAGTATAACAGATCCACATCTTTCTTGCACTAGGGACACTGGAGCTGCCAAAGAGACCAATTCCTTGGGACAGACCATGTCTCAGAGGGTACTGCTGGCACTAGGTTGAACAGAGTTTGCTGAAGCAGCACAGCCAGTGTCTGACAAACTGATGGCTCAGTGCTAAGGTTTACCTGCACTGCTTGCATTACAGGATTTCTGCACAGGTGGTGGTGTGACATGGTTGGCAATGGCTGTGGAAGAAGGGGGAGGTATAGGAGGGACTGCAATTTTGCCTCCTGGTGGGGGTGGCAGCAGGCTTAGGCCCCCTGATCCAGACACACGGGGCTTGGCTGCTCCTCCTTTCTTTGACGTCATGTTCTGTGTTAAAAAAAAAAAAAAAAAAAAAAAAAGGAAGTGTAAAGAAGAGTCTTCATCAGCACATCCAGAGAAACAAGCAGGGTAAACAGCAGGGTAAACTGGTCTGCTTACCCCAATGTTTAGTTTGATGGTCTGCCCTTCCTTAAACCCTAAGTCTAATTTGGGACGTGTGTCAGCTTCCTGGGACTCCTTGGAGATTTCAGTCTCCTGCTTCACCCACCTTAAAAGAAGAGAGGAAAGCATGAGACCCTGTGTCAAAAAGGAACAGCCTTTTAGAAAAACATGTGGTTTCTCCATCCATCCCACCAAACTACTTTGCCTTGTCAAACCAGCTACCTCCCTACTCCTGGTGTCACACAGCACAAAGCTAGGACCACAGCAAACCCATGGAGCTATTTAACACTGCACTTGGAGCATCACAGGACCTAAGCTTAAGACATACAAATCTGACCCTGCAGGGGCTCTCAGCTTGCACACTGGCAGCACACACAAGTGTCCCTTGCCAGAGCAAGACTTCAGGGCCACCCCAAGGAAACCTGTGCTAAATGAACATGCACCACCACCCACCATGTTCTACAGGCAAGGGGAAAAATAGCATTCCAAAAAGCAAAACTCACTTGAAGTGATCCTGCAAAGAGACGTTGAAGTCAAAGGCATCACCCCGATCTGTGAAGCCAATGCCTATAAAAGCACTTCGTCCTGGCAAGGAGACAGGAGGAGTCACTGGAAGTGCCCTGCAACTGGGCCACAAATCCCTCTGCTTGTCCTAAACCACTCTGTGCTACCTCTCTTTGACACACCTGCAGCTGGATGCCAGCAGCTCACAGCAGTTCATTGTCCCCAGCCTTCAGGATGCACCCTTCCTCCCACAGAGCGTGCTTGGAAACCAAATGTTCCTTCCCAGCCCAGCCCCTGGACTTCGTGCAATGTAGAGAACCTCTTCTGTTTACCTTGTCCTCAGATCCCTTCAGGCACACCACCTGGCCTTTTCAGCATTCCCAAAATCCTCCTGGCACACTCCCAGCTCCACCTGGGTCTCCTCCACCCCTAGCACTTGGCACCTACGCTGGCCCCCAACTCACCAGTGCCATCCTGAATTCGAATGACAAAGTAGCGGCTGGAATCTGCCACAGTCTCCACTGCAATGCCAGGGTATTGATCTATAGGAGCCTGGGCAAAAAGTTCTCCTGCAGACAGAGAATCAGGTGTTCAGAACGCTTCCTAAAGCGTGGCCAGGGCTGCCATGCACAGCTCTGGGCAGGCTTAGAAACACAGGCTGAGGGGCAGAATCACAGCCTTGGCAAGGCACAGCCTTTCCCTTACCTGAAACCTTATCCTCCAGTTTTATGTAAGCAGTTTTGCCTTTGGAGGTGACACGAAGCCGCCCTGTCCAGTCTGGATGGTCCAGTTTCCAGTCAGATGCCCTGAAAGGAAGAGCAGCTGAATACTGACCAGAGTCAACCTTTCCAATTCTGCCCAGCCACCTCAGTAGAAATCTCTCCTCCCAAACCCTCAGCCCCTGCAGTTGCCTCATTCCACTTCCCTCCCCAAATAAGACATGGGGTCTCAGCTCCTCTCTTGCTGCTGCCAACTGAGACACAACTCTGACTGGCATCTCTGGGCAAAGGGAAAGAGACACAGACCAGAGAAGATCAACTCTTCATCTGTATAAGGTTACCAAAGAGGGGAGACAGAAGCACAGAAACTCACTTCAACAGGAAATCCACAAAAGTGACTTGTGAGCATTAAGAAGACCCCAAAAATTAATTAGTAATATGCTGAAAAGACACTCCATTATTCCACCCTATGGCTGTAAAATAACACAGCTGAGTACTTCATAGCCTAGAGGCAGCTGACTTACACCAGGCAAAACACACATACAGATATTTTGACTGACCCGTCACACTCTTCGCCACAGGCTCTTGTGAAGGAAAAAAAAAGGAAGGAGAGAAAAAACCCAACCTACAGCATCACAGAATATTCTGAGTTGCAAGGATCACTGAATCCAGCTTCCGGCCCTGCACAGGACACCCCAAAATGACACCATGTGCCTGAGAGCATTGTCCAAACACTTCCTGAACTCTGGCAGGCTTAGTGCTGTAAAATCTATGGAATTTTATAACTGGAAACAAACATCCTTAGCCAGGCACAATATCCGCCTACAGTCTGTCAGGTTCAGGGAGTTCACAAACCCACTCCTCCAGCAGGCCTGTGGGCACATCTTACAAAGTCACACTCCGCTTCTTTTAGCTGACCAGAGAAGGCATTTCTAACCGCTAGTTCTGCAGCCTCTTCTTAAAACTCACTCCGAATTCCCCCTGCTTCCCTCTCCACCACTGCGAGAGCCACCAGGCCAAATCCAACGTGCACATCAGTGTCACATGGCAGAGAACCCAGAAAGCGGGAGCAGACCTCAGCCTTGCCTGGAGCAGCGAGCTGCCCTGGCCTCCTGCCCCCCGGTAACAGAGCAGCCGCTGCTCCCACCGCACGGCGCGGAGGCTCCCGCACCCCCAGGCGCTGACCGCCTGCCGCCACAGGCACTTCCAGCGGCGGCTCCTCCTGAGCTCGGCTGGAGAGGGCTCAGGGGATGGCCAGACCTGCTCCCGGCCACAGGACACGGCGTTCCCAAGGGACGAGGCCGGGCCGCGGCATGGCACAGCCCGGCCCCCGGCTGCCCTGCGGGCAGGGACTGAGGCAAGCCGGGCCGATCGCGGGCGCCGGACGCTCCCTCACCTGTACCCGCGGTTGGAGGTGCGCGGCGGGATGCGGTAGACGTTGACATCGGGCTTCACGCAGAGAACGGACTCGTACTCCAGCTCGGCCGCCGCCATGTCGGCCGCGAAGCCCGGCGAGGAGCGAGCGGCAGCAGCCTAGTGACCAGCGGCGCTGCCCACCGCCATCTTTGGTGAGGGCAGACACCGCCTGGGGGCGCCGGTGCGGCCGCGCCAGACGCGGGCCACGTCGGTGAAGCGGAGGAAGCCATCTTGGGTGCTGGCAGCGGGGGGCTGGAGGGCGCCATCTTGGAGCCGGCCCTGACACAGCAGTGGCGGCCGGCGCCATCTTGGGGCCTGGCAGGTGTCGCGGCTGGGCTGGTGCGGCCATGTTTGTTAGGGGCAGCCCCAGGGGTGGCGGGAGCGGCGCGGTGGCTCTGCCGCCCTCACGGCACCGACCTGCCCGTCCCGGGGCTGCTCCTGCCGCCCTCACGGCACCGAGCTGCCCGTCGGGCTCCCCGGGGCTGCTCCTGCCGCCCTCACGGCACCGACCTGCCCGTCGGGCTCCCCCGGGGCTCTCCTGCCGCCCTCACGGCACCGACCTGCCCGTCCCGGGGCTGCTCCTGCCGCCCTCACGGCACCGAGCTGCCCGTCGGGCTCCCCCGGGGCTCTCCTGCCGCCCTCACTGTCCCTGCTCTCCCTGTGGTGCGGGGGTTAGGTGGCTTTGTGGTAAAAGAGCAAGCCAAAAAGGAAATGCGGCGCACAGCTCGGAAATTTGCGGCTGGAAGTGATGGAAACGGCAGCTGTGCAAAGCTTAGTTTCAGGAGTGGGTCTTCCCACGAAAAGGGTGCAGATACTGGTTTGTTTGTCAATAATGATAAGGCTGGCAGCGTTTAAACCACTCTTTTAACGGTGGCTTCTCAGAGGAGACTGGTGTTGAAGTTCAATGCTGTGCAGCGTCCTGTGACCGAGTCTCAAAAATTACCAGTGTTTACTCTGAAAAGTGGGAGAAAAGGCATAGGAGAAATTTTAAAATTACATAGAGCCATGTCTGAGCATTCCATGTCAAGCATTGGAACGGGCTGCCTAGGGGGGTGGTGGAGTCATTATCCCTGGAAGTGTTGAGGCAAAAATAATCACAGAAACATCACTAAGTTTGAGGTTTTGGTTTGGTTTTTTGTTTCATTTGGTTTTTATTTGCGTTTTTTGTGGGGGTTTTTTGGTTGGTTTTGTTGATTTTTGGGGTTTTTTTGCTTAGTTTTGGGGTTGTTTGTTTTAGTTTTGCTTTTTGGTGTTTTTTTTTTTTGTTGTTGTTGTTGTTGGTTTTGTTTTTGGTTTTGTTTTTGATTTGTTTGTTTGCTTGTTTCTCAGTCGGGAAATAGCATTAGTTAATGCAGACAGAGCCATTCCCAGCCATGGCTGTCTAGTCACCATTCTCTATGTTTTTTCTTGTTCTATAACTTCTTAAGCTTAAGGACCAGTACAGCATTCAGAATTCAAGAAGAAACTTACATTTAGCTTTTCGATAGAGTTGCTTATTGACCTAATTTTTCATTAGAACTTCCTGCAGTGACTGCTAAGTTTTTTCATTGAGCACTAATATCTCACTGGGAGTACACCCTCCATGTGTATAGTTCCAGCTGCTTTTCCAAGTTCAGTGATTCACAATTAGCAGCATTAAATTTCACCTCCCTCTTCACAGTGCTGTCATTCAGCGTGCCACAGTCCTCCTACAGTCCCCCTAGAAGGAGAGCATCTCGGATGAGGGAGTGGCAAAGGGCCAACTATTATAAGGCATGTGAGCAAAGCCACCAGAACGCCAGGAATGCATCTCCCATTCAATTCCATTGAGACTTAACCAGCAGAGAACATAACATTCTTCAGCTTGGTTCAAACAAGCATCTCTGGACCAAAAAAAATGCAAAGCACTGCCAATAACCACTGAAGTTTAAATTTTTATTTATATTATTTATTTATTATTGTTTGTTTGTTTTTAAGGATTCAGCAAAGAGGTTGAAATCTCGAAATAGAACATTTAACCTGGATTATAGAACCTTATATAGAACCTGGTTAAGGACCTTCCAGCAAAGCAGGGCTTGACTAGCAGGTCCCATGGTGATGACCAGGCTATGCTCCTATCAGCACTGTGTGTCTGGGCTCGAGGAGTCCCCCTGGCAGGATGGCAGCTGTGAAGAAGATGAAGCTACAGGAATTTTCCTGGCAGGCTGCTGACAGCCTGTCTATCTTTGTGGGTACAGCTCAGCCCTGGTCTGTCTTCCTTTTTCTGGTTTTGTGTTGGAGGCAGCATCTGTGTCTTTAACAGACACGCTCAGGAGAAGTCTGTTCTGTCACAGTTCATTTTCCAGACCAAAATGAAAATACTGAGGCTGATTCTTGTATGTATGGGCTCTGTCATTTCTGCTAGCAGTCTTGATTTCCCAAATTGTGAAGGGCAAGAGGGAACCCCCTAGTTAAACATTAGAAATGCCTTGCCCTGGAAATCTTCCATTTTTATTGTCTTGCCACATTTTGTGCAAATCACCCATTTCAGTTAACCACTTTTAACTTTTTGTCAGTCAATTTCTTTTTTAAAAACAAGACTTTTAATACCCTGAAAAGTAAAAAGCAGATTAAAATCCTTTTGTCATGACCACTCATGGTTTGATGAGTACAGTGTTCTGTATTTGATGAAGCAAACTGTCTCGAGCTGGGACAGAAGCTGATCTGGATTGGTAAGAACCCTAGAAATGAGATTAGCTAGGTGAATGTGCTCACCTGGTAAGACATAGAAGTGGCTATGACATGGCAGGGTTTGGACTTAGGAATTACTTCCAGCAAAGGTCACACTGTGTCAACAGTCAAAATGTCATTCAGTTGTCTTATAGAATATGGTAAAGTATATGTCTGTGATTATAACTCTATTAATATTTTATTTCAAGCACTATTTTATTTTGACAGTTTTGAGAAAATTCCTGTGATTTGACTCTTTATTTTATGAGCTGATCATATCTAAATCTTGAAATTACATTCAAATGAGTCATTTTATCAGGGTGAAAGAACACACTTGGCACACACAGGATGCATACAGGAAAAAAAATGCAGTTCCTAAAATGTCATGTGAGGGTTTTCTCAGTCACTTCAGAGACAGAATTGATGGTACTTGCTCCAACACACTGAAATCACTGCTTCGCTCAGGTAGGTATCATAAACTGGAGAATTTTGCTTTCCTCATCTACTTGCTATTTATTATTCTTTACTCCTGAAAACCCCTCTCCTTCCTCCAGTTGTGCCTTTCATTTTCAAACCACATTGCGGCCCTTTTAGCACTCTGGAAAATATAGTGTGGGCAGTATCTTCTAATTGATTCATCAGTTTACTTTGGAGCAGGACTTGCATTACTATTTTACAGCATTCCTTGTTTCCCTGTCCTCTTCATACCATTTTCTGTAGCTATATGGGGAGGCAGCAGGGTTCAACTCTTGCAGCACTGTTCGCCAGTTGTCCTTCTGAAAATTGTTTCTATATAGATCAGCAAGACCACAGGAAATGGAACAAACTTGGGGGAGAATTTTAAATTAAGCCTCCAGCTTTAAATTAAGCCTTCCAATAACGTCTTTCATAGCTTTCCTTGCAGGTCACCCTCACTCACAAGTCTCTTGGCAGATATTACCCAAACCTGATAAATGACGATGTTTGTTACAATTGTTAATCTCATTTTCTTCTTAGTGAAGCAGTGATGCACACTTATGCATCACTCCACTTTTGGACTGCATGTTATGCAAGAGTGAGATTATTTGGATTTTTTAAAAATTATATTTATATTTAGTCCTGCATACAACAATCTCTGGCTGGTATTTAAGTACTGGCATAACAGAGGTTAAAAAAGGGTCAGTTGTCTTATTTATGTCATCTCAGTTGCTTCTGCAGGCTGTATTCACCTCTTCCCTATTCAGTTTCCTTGCATTTTGGCAACATTTTTTGGGACCTTTCAGTCCCTTTCAACTGCTGTCATTGATTCAGCAAGGATTTAGTTAACAGGAATTTTTTAGACAATTCTATTAATGCCTAAAGAATGAAGATCAGGGTTTTTTTTTCCTCAATTCTGTCTTAGCTTTGCTGGTTTTCTTCTCCTTTCTAAATTTACTAAGTCCAAGAATAATTGAGCAATTAACATTCTTCCTCTGCTATGGTCATAGTTTTAAAATGTCACTTAAGTATGCTGTAGGTCAGCTTCATTGTCTTGCAGTAAGACACCTCCTATCTAAAATGGCTGAAGAACATTACTCTGTATTTTCATGTTTATTTCTACAAGTAAATATCTGTCTGTTCTTCTTAAACATTAATTTCTTATCTTTCATAGAATCTTAAAATGTTAAGATTGTCTTTCTCCTGGTCAAGATAAGCTTTCCAAGGAACTACCAGAGAGCTCAGAACACATGTATAAGAAAAGGAAGTGGTCACTGTCACTTCCCTAAAATATCACTTAGCCAACACAAGTTATGTCCTGTCTATTCTATTTGTAATATTCAGAAAGTGAAGCAGGGTGATTACAGAAAGACAGGCATTGCTTTCTTAACTTAAATGTACTTCACCAGTTATGCCAGAAGAAATTGCTCATTTTAAAGGAAAGAGGAACTAAAAATGCTGGTTTGCCTTTCTGAAGCAGGAAGTCAACCAGAAAACACACCTGGGCACATCATGGCCATGTGAATAGAGAGCTTCACTTTAGGGACTAAGAAGAACCAGATGGAAATCAAAGGGATGACAGAGATAGGAGAACATAACTGTATGAAGCCCACTGTTTGAATAGCAAGCTTACATACAGGTTTAGCCACTATGAAAATGATGAAGATGTACAACAGGTACACTAGTAACAATTTTGTGTAGGCAATGCCTTTGTAACGTGACAGCTCTGTACTGTCACCTGACTCAGGGATGCTTCAGCAAAGGTTAAGAGAAGAATTTGGGGAGGAGGATCACAGAATTACTAGGTTGGAAGAGACCTTAAAGATCATTGAGTCCAACCCATGCCCTAACACCTCAACTAAACCATGGCACCGAGTGCTACATCCAGTCTTTTTTTAAACACATCCATGGATGGTGAGTCCACCACCTCCCTGGGCAGACCATTCTAGTACTTTGTTACTCTTTCTGTAAAAAAACTATTCCTAATATCCAGCCTATATTTCCCTTGGTGCAGCTTAAGCCTGTGTCCTTTTGTTCTGTCAGTTGCTGCCTGGAGAAAGAGAGCGACCCCCACCTGACTACAACCACCTTTCAGGAAGTTGTAGAGAATGATAAGGTCACCCCTGAGTCTCCTTTTCTCCAGGCTAAACAGCCCCAGCTCCCCCAGTTGTTCCTTGTAGGACTTGTGTTCCAGGCCCCTCACCAGACTCGTTGCCCTCCTCTGGACAGGTTCAAGAGTCTCAACGTCCTTCCCAAACTGAGGGGCCAGAACTGGACACAGCACTTAAGGTGTGACCTCACTAGTGCCAAGTACAAGGGAAGAATGACCTTCCTTTTTATTCCTAAGTTCCTTTAAAACCTTGTTGCCCATCCAGGCTGGACATTTGCCTTGTTGACTCGTCTTTTGCCACACAGGGACAAAAAGATACCTGTTCTTGTGCCCTCAAGATCTCTGTTTTGCAGTACTTTCCTGGACTCCTTTGTTTTTAAGGGCTGCTTCTCAAGGAACTCTCTTAATAAGTCTTCTAAATAGACCAAAGTCTGCCCTCCAGAAGTCCAATGTAAGAGTCTTATTGATGTTCCTCCTCATTTCGCCAAATATTGAGAACTCTCTATTTCATGATCACTCTGCCCCAGGTGGCCTCCAACCACCACATCTCCCACCAGCCCATCTCTATTTGCAAGCAGCAGGTCTAACATAGTCCCTCCCCTGGTGGGCTCACTCACCAGCTGTGACAAAAAGTTTTCCTCCACACACTCTAAGAACTTCCGAGACTGCCTCTTTTCTGCTGTATTGAGCTTCCAGCAGATGTCTGGTAGGTTAAAGTCACTTACAAGAACAAGGGCTGGTGATGCTGAAACATTCTTCAGCCATTTATAGAATAAGTTGTCCAGTTCTTCCTGGCTGGGAGGATGATAACAGACCCCCAGCACAATTGTTGGCCTTCCCCCTAATTCTTACCCACAGGCATTCAACTTTGTGGTCATTAGTTTCAATACCCACAGCATCAAAATCCTCCCTAATATAAAGGGCCATCCCTCCACCTCTTTTCCTTTTCCTATCTCTCTGAAGAGCTTGTAGCCATGCAGTGCAGTGCTCCAGCCATGTGAGTCATCCCTCCATGTTTCTGTGATAGCAATTACATCACAGCTTTGCCGTGGCACCATGGCCTCCAGCTCTTGTTTGTTACCCACGCTGTGTGCATCAGTATACATGCACCTTAGCTGGGCTACAGATTTCACCCCTATTTCAGGCTTACTACCCTTGGGCCTGCTTCCAGACAGCCCAGCTGCATCCCCTTCCCCCTTCAGACCTAGTTTAAAGCCCTCTCAATGAGGTCTGCCAGTTCATGAGCTAAAATCCTTCTGCCCTTATCAGAGTCCATCCCGTTCCAGCAGGCCAGGTGCCAAAAAAGTTGCCCCATGATCAAAGAACTCAAAGTTCTGTTGATGACACCAACCCTTGAACCACTTATTGATGATGTGGGCTCTCCTATTCCTTTCATAATTTTTCTCTGCCACCAAAGGGACCTGTTCTCCTGCCCTATGAACCACTTGACACTGTGCCCTGAAGCTCCTTTTAATTTCCCTAACACTCCTCTTTTCAATCTCACCACTGCCAGCTGGGGGTATTATACCACTTCCAGCAGTGGGTAATAATGAGAGGGTCAAATCAGCCGGGAGTCTCAGTGATATCCCATACCCAGGCCCCAGGGAGGCAGCAGATCTCTTTGTGGGATGGGTCTGGTCGGCATTTGGGGCCCTCTGTTCCCCTCAGAAGGGAGTCACCCACTACAACTACCTTTCTTTTCTTTTTAATGTTAGAGGTGGTGATCCCTCTGGCAGATGAAGCATAATTGGGAGGCTCACTGGGCAGATAACTTATGTCCTCTGGCTGACCCTCTAGAGCCAGGGCCTCACACCTATTCTGAAGTGGCACCTGGCTAGGGGATGGGGGTTGGGAGGAGTTGTTATTATTACCTCTCTGAGTAAGGACCCATTTCCACTCCCCTTCATCCTCCTATTGTCTGAGAGTGGAAGGCATAGGAGTCTTCTCGCTCCTGGTGGGCCTCCCTCAAGGATGGAAGGGCGGAACTCCACCAATCTATTTCCCTTTCACTTTCCCTCATATTCCTTAGCCTTTCTACTTCCCCCTAAGCTTGGCCACAAGTGAAAGTAGATCGTTCACCTGTTCACACCGCAGGCAGGCTTCTTCTGCAATGGCCCCTGGAGCCACTGATAGGCTCAAACACTCCACAAAAACCAAACCAACCAACCAACAAAAACAGAACAAACAACAAAAGAAAAACCCCACTAGCAGGAGCAAACCTGCACCCCTGCCTGCTTGCCCAGCCGCGTCACGTCCCCGTTTCCCTGCTCCTGTTCGCCGCGCTCTCTAGAGCCCTCTTTTAATCACCCGCTGCTCGCCAGAGGAAAGCCCCACCCTGCACTTGCGTGGCTAACGAGAACCAAGGATGTGAATTGCTAATAATTTGCTTTCTGTTTTACAGTTGCAGAATGCCTCAAGTTCTGGACAACAGCACTTCAGAGGAACAGGCTGCTGTATATTATGCATCAGAATCAATTGTCTGCATTGCAATCTTCACCATTATTTTCATCATAGGTATCCCAGGCAATGGGTTGGTGATCTGGGTAGCTGGTCTGAAAATGAAAAGGTCTGTGAACACTGTCTGGTTCCTAAACCTCGCTGTGGCTGATGTCATGTGCTGCTTGTCCTTGCCATTTTTCATTGTTCACCTGGCCCTTCATGAACACTGGCCCTATGGCTGGTTTCTCTGCAAAGTCATTCCATCAGTCATAATCTTCACCATGTTTGCTAGTGTCTTCCTACTTGTGGCCATCAGCATTGATCGGTGCCTTCTGGTGATGAAACCTGTCTGGTGTCAGAACCACCGGACAGTGAAATTTATATCGCTAATATGCAGTGGCATTTGGATGCTGGCCTTCATTTTCTGCTGCCCTGTCTTCTACTACCGTGAGACAACCACTTATGAGGGCAAAACGGAGTGTGGGTACAATTCTGGTGTTGATGATTACATAGATGATCTTGTAAATGTATCTGTAAATGAGTTATTGGAAGAATCTACAATCTACTCAATCTACAATCATAGTGACTTGTGGGGAGCTACCAATGAAGTTAGTGATTCTGTACCCCTTGCCTCAGCGGTAATAAACATCACCAGGGCTGTCTTTGGCTTTGTGCTCCCCTTTAGCATAATGGCAGTTTGCTACACCCTCATTGTTTTCAGAACACATGCAAATCAGTTTCACAAGTCACACAACAGGACACTGCGAACAATTGTGTTTGTGGTAGCTGCATTCTTCATCTGCTGGGCCCCATACCATGTAGTTGGGATTCTCTCCCTTGTACCTAGTCTTCAAACAAGACTGATGGAGTCACTGATTCTGTGGGATCACCTCTCTACAGCACTTGCCTATGCCAACAGCTGCATCAACCCCTTGCTTTATGTTTTTGTGGGACGGGACTTCAGGGCAAAGGTACGGCAATCGGTGCAAAGAATCTTGGAAAGTGCCTTTAGTGAGGAACTCACATCTTTAGCCCTTCACAGAAGCCAGACTTCAGCAGACAAGAACCTGAGCAGCACCTTGTAATGCAGGACTTCCTATAACGACTGTAGAAAGGACAAGCTATAGCGCTGCACATCAATCACTCTCTGCTTTAGCAGGTGTTTTTAATCCAATATGTTTAATTAATCTGCCACTCCAACTCAGGACACTGCAAGCATTCAGCTCATAACGGATAACCCTCTTTATGTCCTACATTAGAGACATGGGAAGTTGGAAGCACAGAGCAATTATTGCAGAGTACTAATCTGAGGGATGACTGGTGAAGCAGAAGACACAGTATTTCAACCTACTCAGACTATTTTAAGAAATGGGGCTGGCTACAGATTTGTGGTGGGAATCATGAAGTTGAACCTCTCAGCTGAGATATAAGAATGTTATTTTATTTGTATATGTCTGTGTTCTATATCTCCTGTCTCTGATAAAGTGCAGTTTAAACTAACCTGGATATTGGTCCTCAGAAGGTCATCACAGTTTTCCTCTGACTCTACCAGAGCTCTGAGGTGCGTGTAGGTGTATCTGGAGATTCCCTAGAGGGTACTGCTATATTTCCTTACAGCCATGCACCAGAACAGCACTTGCCCCAGCCAGCTGCACTGAACTGACTTCTGTGCCCTGGTAGGTGATCTATTTCTTTGTCCTAGTGTATGGTAGTAACTGGTCAATGCAAATGCTGAACCCGTGTTCATTAGCATGTGCACACTCACTGTCTCCTGAACACTCCCTCCACAACCAGAGTCCCAAATCTTCCTTTTAGGAAGCATCTTGAGATTTTATCCAAATGTACCTACTGTATTTTGAGATGGCAGAATTTGAGCATGCAGTCACTGATGACCCAGATTAGGTGACTGCTGGACTATCAGCCATTTGGCAAAACCCTGGAACTGAGAAGTGATAACCTCCAATCTGACCCTAAAAAGGTAGGAAAAAACCATGTTGTGGCTCAGTCACGTCGAGCTCTCTTTACAGGAGATGCGCTTCTTATGTCCTTCTAGTGGAGAAAAAGTTTCATGCAGTCAGGCTATTTGGGGTGTGCCCAAGGTTGAATGTTCCCCCTCCTGAAAAGTAGAAATATATTTACTACGTACTTTAAAGAAGCATTTTAAAATCTGCTTTTAGTGCTCTTCCTTAAAAGAGACAGCAAATATTAAGACAAATAGACACTAAGCATTGGTAGAATTTTCACTCTGCCTTTCTGGTGAGCATGAATTGAAAGACTCTGATCTCACTACCCTGAGAACAGCCACCTAGCAGAACCTTCAGCTCTTAAAATCCTAAAAAGTCTCCATCTAAAGAACATCCAGGTGTGGGCTGTCCATTTAGCCACGTCCACACCTAAATTCTAAGGTGGGAACCAAGCCATCCTGACAGGCGCCGCTGAAAGAAAAGAATCAATACTGGCACCAAAACAGTTAAACCATAAACATTCACTTTTTCTTTTTATTAAGAAAGCATGCACAAAAATAAACTCGTGAGACCACGCCCCTCTCTCCCTGACCACTGACACAAAGCATTGGGGGCGGGCTGGAGGGGCCTGCAAGACCCCTCTGTGGGCCAGGCTGGCCCCCCTGCCCTGCCTGCAGGCCGGTGCCAGTGCACCCGCAGAGCTCCACACCCACCCATTGATGTCTTACCACACTAACAACACACATTGATTTCAGGGGCAGAGGAACGAGGCTAATTTGCACACTGACCGGCATGTATTTACATATGCAAAATGAGGCACAACTTAATATGCAAATGAGGCAAATATGCAAATGAGGAGCACTTGGATACGCAGAAGGAGCCATCTTGGTTTGTTTTTCTTCCGGTGGTGTTTTCAGACTTCCATAGGGCCGGCTCTCAGTAATGTCCACTGCAAAACACTAACTGGCACCTGCCATAAGTTGTCTCTCATTGTTGTCTCCGGTGCCACTTTCCACAGAAACCTATCACGCATGCTTCCAAAGCTGTATCATTCCCATCCTGAGGCAGCAGAGATAGCAGCTGACTCCATGTTGAAGCTGTCTGGGATTCCTCATTTCTCTTGGAAATGCTCAATGACGAACGCCCCCCCCCCCCCCAACACACACTTAAAACAAAAAAAAACCCAAAAACAAAACCAAACAAAAAAATTTTTTAAAAAGGAAAAAAAAAAAGAAAAAAAGTGCTGTTCTCCCCTTCCAATGCAATGAGACTCTGTCTGCTTCCCTGACAACAATCCAATTTCCAACTGGTTTATCCCTACAGCAAATTTAGAAAGCAGTGCTAGTTCTCCACCTTCCTGCAGTCAGAATACAGGTTATTACTTTATTCCTGTGCTCCAGGTCTGTCAAGCAGCCATGATAGTCTATTTCCACATTTGTTCCCCTCACTGGTAAATAGGGAATAAGGGCTGGGGGGAGGCTTTACAGAATATTAAGAAGAAACAAGAGGTTTGACAGAATGGAGCCCTGTGAGAAACGAAGGGGAACACAGGACACAACTTTGGGGAGGAAGCATCTTAATGCTCACTCCCGTTCCTGCACCTCTTCCACTGTCCTGATTTGCACGTGATGACAAAGCTCATCCTTTAGGATTTACACTAAGTTACATCATCTCCCCAGCTGAACTGCAAGGGGTCTGAGACACCCTCCTCCCTTTCATACTACACTGTCCGGCTGGTAGGTTCAAAACTCTGCTCCGCTTCACCCTCTTTCCCCTAATGCCCCTCTTACAAAAACCGCTTCCAAGGGCCTCTCGGTCCCTGACCAGAGGGTTTAGCCCTTGACCAGCAGCCCCCCAGTTCAGCCCCACTCTGCACAGCAGCTTCATCTGCCCACCACAAGCCCATTCATCAAGTGGGAACTGCTGATTGAGGATGTGCACCTACAAAGCCAGACTCCTGTTGCTGGCACTCTCAACCATGGGCAAGGACAGCCCCCAAAGAAATATGAGGGGTGGAGGACCAAATAACAATTGGACAAATACTGATGGGAGAAAACTTTCAAATTTGCATATAAAAGGGAGAGCCTCACTACATATTTTGAAAAGGGGCTTGAAGGGGTATGGGCTGAAATGAAAAGCTCTGGGGAACAGAATTTGCTGAATCACACGTGACACCCCTGACTGCTTTTTTACCTGATGGGTATGTAGGCTTCACCTAGAGACTGAAAAAGGCAGTGTAGGAAATGGGTCAGGATTCCCTCAAAATCTCCCAGTCTTCACAGATGGCACTACATTCTGAAACCCTACTTCTCTGCTGAAATACCATCTCTGCTACGTTCTCCTTTCTCCAAACTCAGGTCTGCCCGCCCAGCTCAGCTCAGCTCTCCCTACCTCAGGGATTACCATCTCTTTGTACTTGGGAACACCACTTCTTTTTTTGCCATTCCTGCTGGTGCAACAAAGTTCACAGAGCTAAGATCACCCCTCCAGTGTCCCTTCAGCCCCCTGACCTTTACAACATTTACGAAACAACATAACTACAGGCTCCCAGGGTCCACTAGGCTCTCTCACTCCAGTAGCCAATACGACAGATTCACCGGCCACCTTGAAGGGAAAGAGGGATTGTTAAACGCAAAATAACGGAGGCAGAGAAAGATGCACTCGAGGATTCAGCCTTCCAAGGTCTTTTCATGGCACCAAGGACCCATCTTCCCGCCCTCCACAGGGCACTGCACAACACGAAAGAGCCGATCCAATGCGTCTGAGGCCACCGGAGGAGGGGGAGGGCTGTGCTCAATTATTGGTAATAATAATAATAACAATAATAATAATAAACAAAAGAAGAAAAGAAGATAAAACAGGACGCAAGGAAGGATTATCTTCGGCAGCATCTTGCGGTGGCTTCTCTGGCGGAGATAGAGAATATATATCTATATACAGGCAAGGCAGGGAGGCTGGGGAGGGTGGTGCTGACACCATTGACCCCATGTCCCCCTCCCCCTCCCACGTCCTTCATAAAGGACGGGCTATCAAGTCTGTAACTCGCTAGGTGATTAAGTCCCAGTCGAAATCATCGGGGATTTCCTCATTGGCGCCTGGAGGAGGCCCTGGAGGTCGAGGGACCAGATGATGAGCTGAGCCAAAAACAAGAAAAAAGAAGAAAAAGGAAAGAGAAGAGTTAGATTCTAAAAATACATGCTTTTTCACAGTGGGCCCTTGGGCAAAAGAAATCAAATTTGGGCCTTCTCCTTTCCAACAGTCTAACAAGCAAGAACACTACTGGCGTTAATCTCTGTCAGCATCTACCAGTGTCTGGGAATGTTTGGCTGTGAAATTCTCCACAACAGCTTCTACAGAAGTTTCAGCCTCCTTTACTTACCTCATAGTTGACTGCTGATAGAGCACAAATGACTTCATCAACAGAAGCTTCTCATGTACAGCTGTCTTCAAACAACTTAACTGAGGGTGAGGCTAAGCTAGAAGACTGTTTATGTGAAGTGAAAGAAATCAGGCCTTTGAAATCCTAAATGTTCTCAGAGTATCCCAGAGTATTTAGAGCCCTAAATGGAGGATCCCTTGCAGCCCATGCTCCCTCTCTAGTGCTCCATTTGATTACTAAATGCTTTGGGAGAAATGCACAAAGGGGTTGGGAATCAGTTCTTTAATGTTCATCGGTTCATTAATATGCCTTAACGCCCTTACCTGGGCGATTATATCCCGGAGAGTCCTGGGCAGAAATCTGGTACATAGGAGATGGCCCGGAGAAGAGATGGGGAGGCTGGGGCTGACCATAGGAGTTCACTGAGAAAGGAAATGAATTAAGAAAACAAAAAAACAACGGTTCAGATCAGCAGTCTTGGCCCTGACTGGACGGCAGCTCAGCCACAGAGCAACTCACTCAGACCCGCAGGATACTGAGGAGATGTTCAGCTGTTGAGTCCTAACTCCAAGCTATGGCTTGGTCAGGGATCTTGTTCTTGAAACCAGCAGGAGTTTCTCTATTATTGTAAGAGAAGAAAATTTTCATCCAGAAACACCAAAAGCTGGCTCAATATCATCCATTTAGTTCAGTACTAGATGACACACACCATTACAGTTCTATCAAGACCACCATATCCCCTCCTCAGAATGCAACCCCTATTCCTTGTACAGTATTTCTCCAGCAAGGGTGCAGGAGCTTTCTCCTTTACTGTTCCTGCCATCTGGAATAGCAAACTCTCTACCTTGCCATTCCTCTGCTGGTCACCTAAAAAATACCATCCTCTTCTCCTCTTCCAGGTTTGCCCTTTAAATATATTCCTGTCTGGAGGTTGCCTGTCAATAGTATGCATCACATAGCAGCAGTCTGTCCAGAGCACAGGTATAGGACATCCCAGTTCTTTAAAGCCAGAGAAGGCTGAGTTGCTACAAACAGCTCTGACAACCTAGCTCTGGATTGCTCAGTGCTGCATTGCCTGGTAAGGCCGCAAGTAATTTCGGATACTCACAGAACTGGGCCTTCATTTGCATGTCATTTTAGTCTCCTCCTAATTACCTTGGTTCATGGATTGCTCCTGTTTGCCACTGTTCAGGGCACAAGAATCAGAGATTCGAGGGGGCTGCTGTGGGCCAACCAGATGAGGGAGCTGACCAGTCTGGGTAAGGAAGTGATTAAGGGAGTCACAGAGGTTGGCAATATGGTGTTGATCCAGCGTCCAGTTCTTCCGCTCAGCCTGGCGCAAACTCTCCATGAGCTCTGCAGGGGACAGGGGAGAGTGTCAAAGACAGTAGTCACACTGTGATCTTACCAGCAAAGAATTTCTGACCCTAAATCCTACCTCCTCCTCACAAACCAAACTTTATAGTTTCTATCTGTCACCAGATTCCTGAACAGCTCCACATATAAGATACTGTGACACTGACTCAGGCAAAGAAGAGTTGAAAGGAAAAATCTCAGTCAGCTTTCTGACATACTTTTATGACTTAATTCTCCCTGCCCCATGTCCTGCAGTGTTCATTCAAGTGCTTCAGGATCTTTAACAGAACCCATGAAGTAGGACACCTCTTTTTAAAAATGAGGTGAATCACTGAGAAATCCAGACACTTGCCACAGTTACATTGAAAAAAAGATCCCTGCACAGCACTTGTGTGTTCTAGACTACAGCCCTAGTCATTGAGGCACTAGCTTTAGCCACTAGGCCAACACTGACCTGAGAATTGGGAGTGCTCAATACTAGACCAGTTCAGCCGGTTTACCATCTTGAAGCTTTCCTTCAGGGAATCAATGTTGGAGCACCAATCAGGGGGAAACGCTGGAATGAAACAGGGACAAGATTAATACAGTATAGATCACCTTTTCTCTCCACCCCTTAATTTAAAAAGATTGGCCCCTCTTTACCAAAGAGCCTGATGCTACAGCAGCTAGAAATCCTTTCTCCCTTGGAAAACCAGGGGCAGTATCTCCTTTTTCATTAAGGCCCTGACTTTATGCTGCATCCCAAGCTCAGGGTGGATATACCCTCCATTCTCCAGATAAGAAAGCAATTTCCTTCTCAGATTTCAACCATATCTGGCTTTCCCCCATTTTCAACACACAAGTAGGCACTACTTAGGGAAAGCTCACTTGTGGGATTTCTGTCTGGGGGCTCCTCACTGCTCCCTTTCCTCCATTCGTGCTTTCCATGACCCCTGACTCACCAAAGCCAGCATTGTTGATTGAAGCCTGCGACTGCTGCTGCTGCTGGTGTGGCTGCTGCTGTGGGTGGGAGTGTGGGTGATGTTGTTGATGCTGGTGGTAACCTCCATGCTGCATTGGGGGCGGGTGCATGGACATCACTGGTGGAGGGCCATAACCTTCACCACCCTGCTGCTTTCCTCCTTGGGATGGGCAACCCTCTGGGGTTGGAGTGTGGAGTGGGGGAGCAGCACCCACCGAGGAGGGGCCTTGCTGCTGCTGCTGCTGGTACATGTAGTAATTGTGGTTGGAGGGCTGCATGTCACCAAGGAGTGAAGAGAAACCTGCCAAGTAAATGAAAGAGGAGGGAGCTTTAAGAGAGCCTGGATCAGACCTATGCTTACATTATCCAGCTCTAATTTCACACTGCTCATCCCACTATT